CGTTTCAGCGTCGCTAGAGTTAAAAAGTGTGACTCTCAGTGACTGAAAACTTTTTGCGTGCGAGGTTTCCGTCACGCCAATATTCAAGTGTAGAATAAATGAACGTGCGCTCCAAACCAGGGCTAACTTGCTAGAAACAGCGTCTCAGCTGAGACGATGAAAGAAAGCACTGCCAAAGCCAGCGCACGAGTCGAGCGGGACTCCGCGTCTCCAGACGCTCGCGCGTCCCACCCTTTGCACTGTTTTCTTTCCGCCAGTCACAGGACGCTGTTCTAACAATCCAACATCAGCGGCGCAGAGAAAAACATGAGCACGAGCGCGTGGCTTCGGAAAGTGGCTCCTATGCAGAAGTTCTCGTACAAACAAAAGCGTTTTGCTGAGCTAGGTTCACGCGCCTGTACCTTTGTCTTCACTGCCGACATTTGTGAGATGGAGCAGAGAGACCGAGATTGAACGCGTCTATTTCACGCTTTGAATGTCGTTCGCAATATTGTGACGTCGCGGTCTCCTGATTGGTCGACGCTGTGTCACAAATTTAGTTTACGCTCTAAGCGCAGGGGGACTATTCGGCGCTGGCGGCGGCCTTTGCTCCGCCTATTGGCCAAACTCTCCCAATACACGGCTCTGCTGTGAGTGGCTTCCTCCTCTCCCCCCTTGGGGCGATTTCCGTAACGAACCCCCGCACAAAGGAGATCGACGTGTCGCTCCTTGATTGGCCACTTCGCCCCCGCCGTTATCTTAAAACCAGCGGACAGCGGTCTCGCTTCGGGCTTCTTCCTGGGATTCGGCGGTGGCGACAACGGGGACCCTTCCGGCGCACCGGTGAGCGTTTACCCCGTACTTTGTACCTTTGTGAACGACCGTTCGGCCGTGGGCGATCTCCACACCGACGGCGTTCACCAGCTTATAGCCGCTGTGTTGTTGTTATTTGTTTCATTGTAAATAAACAGTTTATCACCGTTACCAACGTGACTGGTGTTTGTTTGCGCTCGACGAGCAACATGCCACGCGAGCACGAACCCGCTTCGCGGTAGAGCGTCTCGCCGCGAACGTGGTACTCCCAAAGGCAGTGGCCCCAAGGTGAACCACAATGTTCCCCAAAACACACCGGATTCCGTCCGATTGTCGTGAAGTGACTCTCGGCGATTGTCGACACTGTATATTGGACATGCTGTGTTAATTGAGACCTTTCTCAAGTCCTGTTTGGATAACGTGGCACCGTTGGTTACGTACAATATATCTATATGTTGTTCGATTGATGATACTCGTTGAATTTCATGTTGTGGGCGGGGAATATCCATGCAGTTCGGATATTCGGTGTAGTCAAATATTTTCGACGGCTAAGACCTTTGTAAATTGACACAGCTGAGTGTACGGTGCCGTAAAAAGATCAACATAAAAGGAAACAAATTTTCCAGTTGTATTTGTTCTGTCGCGCACCGACTCACCAAAACAGCTTTTATTTCTTCGTTTTTGTTCCCAAAAATAGTACCAATGCATTTTTAAAAACACAGAGAAATTCTATTTCCCATAGAACACGAAATAAAATATAGAACGTGGCAATTTAGCCTCCACCAGCTCCCGGAAGTGCGCCTACGCAGGCTGCCACAGCCCACTGACTAGAAAACCCACAGCTCAGCGCAGTCGGGCAACACTGACGTACCCTCTCAAAACCAGGGACGCCCGCTGTAAATCGCTTCGTTCGAGACTGCCGCTTATACACCTTTCCAAAAAACACTCGACCCCAGGGGCAACAAGCCGTTTTCGAGCCCAGTCACTGAGTTTGAGGCTAGACTCTCACCGGTGTCCCTCCTAACCCTAACCGAGTGGACTGTGATTTCAATAGGCGCAGTTTCAAACGCTGCTGGCGGCTAAATTCTCGTATTTTCCCGCTATGTTTTGTGTTTCACGGTACATGTATCTTCCCGAGGACATTAAAAAACATAAAAAAAGCAAAAAAAAAATCTAAATTACTTTTGTTGGGTACGCGCGCGACAGAACAAATGCGACTGGAATGTTCTTTTTTTTTTTTTTCTTCTTACGATAAGCTTTGACGGCGCCGCGGGATTTGCCGCATGTGAAACGACAAAGCACTTTGCTGTCAAAAATAAATTGCAACAGAAGAGGGCCGAAAGGCATGCATTTTTCACGCTCACAAATAACGTGTTTACCGATGGACTGGACACGGACATACAATTAAGGAAGTGTTAACATTCGAATAATATATCGTACGTACTGCACGATGCAGCGTTATCCGAAAATAATTTATTTGAGAAAGATCTCAAATAACACAGTCGCAGACGGCGACAGTCACATCTTGACGATCGGACGAAATCCGAGATGACTTCATTTTGGGGCCCGTTTTGGGGAGAGCTTCCTTTTTTCACAACCGCACCAAGGCAAAGAAACAAATGCGACTAACCCGTTTCTCACCCCAACCCGGACAACTATTTTTGGAGATGACTGAAGATTCTACGCGGATTATCTTTGGGAGGGGGGAGAACAATGTTCGCGAAATCGCGTCGAGGGTCGTTCGACGTCCTTCACCTCCTTCGTTTACCATGAATGTCGAGCAGAAAAGCTTGAATGGCAGGCACTTCCCAGCCTTATTTCTCACAATGGAAGATAACACAAAAAGGGTACGCAGCACACATTAAAAAAAAATTAAGTGGAAACTTTCAAGAGGGGCGAGAAAACGTCGAATGCAAAACCGCAAAAACGTAGGTAGAGAAGCGCGCTGAGCGGCACTTCACAGCCCCAGAGAGTGGCAGAAAATTTCTAGCTGATTGAGGGCGCGAGAGTCGCACCAGCCGCAGCCGCATCAGCATCAGCAACATGGCGGCGGCCTAGGAGCGTTTGCTGAAAGCATGAAGTTCTGATCGGAACTTTATGCTTTCACAAAAAAATTGATTGTTTACTACTTGATTAACGGCGACCCCGACGTTAAGACACAATTTATTTTTCTTTACAGTTATATAAGCCCGATGAAGACAACAAGAAGTGCTTGTACGAGCCGTAGGATGCAATACCAAACACGTATGCCGTGAAGCGATCGTCATCTCCGAAGGCGACTTCCATCTGCGGAGTATTTGGCGTGTTGTCTTTTAACATTACAGAGACCACAAAACGAACAAACGACATATACCTAGCTCTTCATCCGAATAGGCGCGCACAACGCCTTCGACGTAACGCGGTATCTTGGGCCTCTTCGCTGGCCAGCCAAACGACTCGGCAAACACTTCGCCGAGAACGGCTGCCTCGTCGTCACTCGAGCTGGAGCTAAGCTGGTATCTTCGTCGCTGTCACTGCGTTTTATTATACCTCCTGAAATTAACAGCAACAATGTCATCGCCGCAGTTTGCTCGGGCGAGTCGGTCATGACGAGGGGAACGAAAGCAAGCACACCAAGAGAGCCCACCCAGCAATCGAAACAAAAAAGCCGCGAAACTCCTTCACTCCCCCGCGGGAATGTCGATAACGAAATTGAAACGTTGCGAGAGACGACTACAGATCGTACTCCTCCGAAAAAGGCTGCGCGGAGAACTACTCCGGACCGCTCGACGCGCTCCGCCACTTTTCCACGGAGCGGTTGGAGCCACTCGGCGAGCGCCCCACTAGCCCCAGATCTACAAGCGGCACATGGAGAGATCGCTCTCATCTCGCGAGGGAAACAAGAATCCGCTCGGCTAGCGCGCGCCGAGCGCTCGCTATTTGCCACTGCTCTATCTTCGTTTATGCGCGCGTTGTTATTTGTTTGTCGTTGCAGTCTGAAAGGGTACGGCTTAAAACTAGTCTGTTGGAATATCCAGCAAAACCTTTCGTGGGACTTTCGATGTCGATCGTCATTACAGGTGGATCAGATATCAGCCTTGGTGAGGGCGTCGAGAACGAGCTTTCTCGAACAAAATGCAAGTTAGCTGACGTAGGTAAATGTTAAACATGATAATGTTGCCCAAGCCTCGGGTAAAGCCACTATGTTTACCTTTCTCTGTTGCTTATTGGGCAGTCACAAGCTTCTGCTGGAAGAGTTTTGTCGACAAATGTTCAATTTTTCACCCGCACACGGATGGTGATAAACATCTCGGGAGCCGCTGATGCGTCTGTTCTGGGCATTTCTTTACACACTGGTATATTTTAGCGTCTGCACGGCAACAAAGTGACTTAAAACCTGTAAATAAAGCACGGTTTGTCAATTGCTTCCTTCATAAAATAGCAGACGCTCACAATTCAAGCTCGCATTTGATTCCGTTGCCCGCGGGACGCAATTTATATCAGAAAATCTACTTTTTTTCCTTTCGGTTCCGCGACACATCGTAGCAGACGAACCCTCGCCGTCTGCTCCCGCTCCTCGCCGGAGCGAGGCATGACGGGATTGCATTCTGGCGCACTCCCGATTTTCTCGGTGCAGCGAGTGCATGCACGCGTGGGGTACCAGCACTGAAACGAACTCGGAGAGTGCGACCACTCGTGGAGTGCCGGCTGAAACGAACCCGCTCCACGCTGCGAGTGGGATGGGCACGAGTGCCGTGAAACGAACTCGCTATCTGTGATCCATTACATGCGTCTCCGCCCAGTGCCCATACATTAAAAAGTGGTCCCCAAGTGGCAACAAATGACGTCACAGAAGCCGGAGTGTCCTGCTGTTGCCTGTCGCGATCCTGGCGGTCGGCCGTAGAAATGCTGGCAAAAAGCGCGAGCGAACGCGAGTGTCGCTGTTGTCGCGGCGTCCCAGGCGTTCCATCTTTCGGCTGCTGTAACTTCTGTGGACTGTCACAGTGGGGAGCGACCTGCAGCAGAACAGGCGTCTGCGATATCCACCACAGCTGCTGAGACACCGCCAGGGTCGCGACTGGCGACAACATGAAAAGTTTATGACGTCATCAGGCGGAAATCGAGGGACCACTTTTTTGGGCACGGTAAACACACCAGTCGGAGACACGTTCCAGGCACCGTACTCTGGCGGCGCGGGTCGTGTCACGTGACAACACAAATTGAAAAGTGCTGGACGCGGGTAGGTTTTAGAACGCCAAGGTACAAAACCCTTACCCTGGAGTATGATCGAGTAAATTTTGGAACACAGCCCTAGGGTGCCTAGCAGGGATCCAGCAGTGGGATCCAGGATCCAGGGGCACTATTTTACGGATTTTACCTCCTTGGTCGTTTACGAGTTGTGATAGCGGTTGACATTAGCGAGTTTGGACGCCGGTGACGCTGTGACGCGTTCTCATGGTGTCATGGTCGTCATGGTCGTCTTGTTTCCGTACTGAGCGTGTGCAGTGCCAAAGTGCTTGAAACTTCGTATCTCCGCGTGATTCCCACGACCCGAGGGAGTTTGCAGAGGTTGCCATGGTCGCAGCGCAGCGGGTGGACATCGACAGCATGGTGCGCAAACGCAGGTGAAGTCGCTTTAGCGTTGCTCGTCGCTTCTCGGCGGAATCATGGTTGTGGCGGAGCAAGGCAACTGGGTGGCCGATGTCGTGATCGTCGTCGAAGGCACCGCAAACCTGAGCCCTTACGTTGACAGCCTGAAGAGCCACTACATCGTACCAACGCTAGAGTGAGTACAGCCTGTCTTCTGGGTATGCAAGTGAGGTTCGATGTCTGTGTGCGCTTTTGGTTTCTGGCTCCGATCACCCTTCAAGAAGCAAGACCTGCACTTTGTTGTCCTCATTAGTAAATCCACACAGCTCAGTTTACCACTACCGCCGCTAGTGCCTCTTGCAGCGTTTCACACCGATCGCGACGCTAGCACACGGCGACGCCAAGACCGCGTTTGCGGTTTGCGGCAACTCTCGGCGAACTTGTTTGCCGCCTGAGGCGGGTCGAGGAACAAGTGATGACGTCATGCGCAGGCCTTTCCTTCTAGGTGGATCAACCCGAGCACCACTCTCACCTGGGGCTGTCATCCTTTAACCTCTTCTGAATGCAAAAAAATATAAAAGAATATTCCAGATCACAAAAAGACATACCCATTCTGGCCTTACCATGTGTGCGTGCAACCTGTGTGAAAGCAACGTGCAATACATGCCTTGCACGTAACCTCATATGGCGCTGTACCAGCCGCCGTTGCTCCATACCACGCTCCTGTGGGTGTTGATGTCGCTGGCCTGTAATAAGGCGGAGCCTCCTGAGGGGGCGGTTCACCGAATGATACTTTAGCGAATAGTTGGGCGGCGCAAAGCGGCGTTTACGTGTGGGCCAATACACACACACATGTGGGTTCACATTTTTTGTAATGAGCCGCCTCAGACTGTCGCCGCGAAGCGGCGTAAAGCGCAGCGCGGCGGATGGGTTAACGCGCGCCCCCGTTATTGCCCCGGAGGCTCCGCCTTATTACAGGCCAGCGACATCAATACCCTCCTGTGCCCGTACCTTCAGCAGCATACACTTCACAAAATCAAACTCATTATTCCTTGCAAGCCCTGAGGAGAAGAATAAATTCGATGGTGCCAAATGTATGCCGCAGAATGTACGGGCATTGGAACATGGTACAGAGCAACGGCGGCTGACGTCGCGTCAATGCAAGCCATGTATAGACCGTTCCACTAGGAAGAGCGGAGAGAGAAAAAATGCCCTCCCCCTCTCACCCCGCGCTTCGTCTGCTCCACCGAGTGGGCTGTACCTAACATCTGGCTGGCGTTCAAACTCGGTTTAAAATTGCATCATCTTGGAAATTTTAAGCGCAGATGCACGGATTTTTATGTGCAAGTTATTGTGTAATGCTGTGCTCGATAAAAAGATTAACCGAGTCTAATTGCAATGTTACCTGCAGGCGAATAAACAAAAGAAAAAATTTGAAAGCTGTGTTAGAGTGGTTGGTTGCTCCGGCGAAAAGTAAATCCGGTTGCTGTAGCTCATTTACTATACGAAGCTCGTACTGGTGTAGGCCTTTAGCGACAATGAGCGGAAATCTGAAATAAATAAAAACATGCTCTCATGGCAGAATAGACGCAGTGGTTGAGGTGCTGGCTGACTTCACTGCTGTTGAAATAACGGAAGAAAGATACGCTAGTTGATAATTTACTGAAATAAAGCAACAGAGCGCTAAAGGCTAATTTTGGAGTAGCCATACATATTCTAAGAACGCGAACCACTTCATAACGGCAGCCACGAGCGAGAGTTCGATATTCGGTACAGCCCGCCGGTTCAGCCCAAAGATGGAGAACGGCAACTTCTCGGTTTTTCGTCTGCTAGTGGAGTTGGGCGCGTGCCCTCTCTCGTTTTACCCTGCCGAAACTGCTGAGCTTCCCGGATGTGTTGAGAGGGTGCTGCGGTCTAACAAAATGGCGCCGCCCTGAGAGTGCTAAATGGAATGGTCTATGGTTTCTATGTCGAAGACATTGTGGTTCATTCTGGCTGTGTAATTCATTCATTCTTGCTTCGTTCTCAAGGTACTTCAACGGTGGTCCGATTGACGACAGAGACTGCGGCTATGATGTAAGTGCATTGCTTGTTTTTTTTTTAAACATGCCTGAATTGCAAAGCGAACTTAATGCCCTTAATCTAAAATCAGCAGAAAAAAAAAAGAGTACTGTCCCTTTATCCACAGAAGGCTCACATTAATTCTGTATACATCTATTTAAGAACAAACAAACATACTACCACATAATTTGGCTTATTCTGTTTGAACCTCAGTATACGTTCAACATGGCTCAGCTGGCCGTTTTGCCATCGTCTTTTTGTTTCCCCTTATTTACAGAAAGGTGAGCATACTTTAGAAGGGAGGTAATAATACTAATAGTAATAATGATGATAATAATGATAACTTTTTCTTTTGAAGCGCATGCAGAAATATGGCTCACAAACGCAATAAATGCTTGACCGTGGGACCATACAGACTTTAAGACAATTAGAAAAGAAAACAACAGAAAACATTGTGTTAGCGAGCAGCAAACACTGCTATACCATAGACAAAAAAAAAAAAATGTTAACACAAAGTTATTAATGTACAATTGTCATAATATTCTAATGACACTCAAGAAAATACAACAAGAAACATAGCATGAACATGTAGATAAATGTTGAGATTATAAGCTTTGGCTAGGTGGCATAAGCCGCCGCCCGATTACAAGGGTTTAGCCCTATGCATTCATCCAGTGGCTTCTCTTTCAGACAAACAGCACGACTTATGCCTTGGTGGTGTTCATGGCGGCGGACTGCGCCACTGAGCCGGCTGCCACCTGCAATGCTCCCACAACGAACGTGGCCAAGCTGCTTTCCTGGTTTGACCGTGTTTCGTACGTCCACACTTTTCACACTTGCACGTTTTGCTTTTGTTTGAACTTTGGATCCTCTGGCTGGCATGCAAGCCTTGATCTTCTGCAAGGCAGAAGCTCCTCTCAGCCTCCGCCTCTCTTAAACCTGCAGGCGAGCGACTTGAGGGAGGGCCACCTCTCTGCTCCACTTGCTCTATGCTCGGATAATGAAATGCACACCGTGCAAAAGAGACAAAGACAAGTAAAAACAAAATCATCATTTCTTTTTTTCCATTCTGTTAACATTTTGTTAGATTTTTCGAAATTCAGTCCAATAACTTCAATCACTTTTCTTATCTCAGTGTATGGCGTCTGTGCCAAACTAATGGCGGTCTTCTTGAGGCCGGTGAAGAAAGAATTTAAAAATACCGCCGAGCTGAGGGTACACGAGGTCTGTATGTTCGAGACGTCAGTACATCACGATGCATGAATTAGACACACAGCTGCACAAGCGTTTATTTCGAAGTTCGGTCCAATCAATCTCTTGGCACAAGTTTCACTCTGAAGCCTTTTGACGGCGGAAATTTAATAAAGCCGCTTATGGGTTGCTGCTTTGTGCTGGTCTGTTTCTAATAGTCACATCATAAAAATAAACGAGTTGAGGAAGGAATATGAGGTTATTGAAGAACCAATTCTCATCTGCCGCTGACACGCAAAAGTGGCGGATTAGTTTGTCAAAAGCAAAACTGCTTCTTGAGCTACCAGATGGCACTGAATTTTGAGAAGGTTCTTTTGAGCTCGAATTGACTCGCCTGCATCGCTACTTAAATCCTTTGCTTCGAAGGAAATGGATCAGACACTCGCAAATGGATCTGTAAAGCCAACAAGGACAAGGCAAGCAAAAGTAGGTAGTGCGCATTATTTACGTCGGCCTTTAAAGGGACCAAGAAACGATGCAGTGCTTCCAACTTCTCCTGCCGCCATCATAATAAAAGAACTTCTAACAGTTAAAGCTGACTCTTCACTAATATGTACTCATAATTACAAGCCAGCGCACAGGTGGACACTTGCTCAAAAATTCAAGTACACAAAAAAAATACACTCGCACAGCACTGAACTGTTCCTATTCCTTGGGGTCGAAGAAGATGAAATTTGGATAAATACAGATGAGTTGATAGTTCAGCGCTGTGTGAGTATATTTTTTTGTGCGTTTGGAGTTTTGAGCAACTATCTACCTGTGCGCTGGTTCGTAAATATGCCTTACCAACTCGCCCATTCTGCAGTATTAATATGTACTCAACTAATGCCTGTAACAGTGGGGTAAACATGGCCGAAATGTTGTGGCAACTAAATATTCGCATCTGTCTCCACACCAAAATGCAGCTTCGTCGGCGGTGGCGGAGAGTCATGCAGCCACATCGCGGAAGGACTCGGGACTGCACTTCAGGTCTTCGACGATTTCCAGGCACTTCGTGAACCAAGGTTTGCCCTTTCTTACCCCCCCCCCCCCCCCCCCCCGTCTGTGCTGCTTACCTCAAAGGTTTCCCAGTGTGGGGCTCGTTCGTAGAATACCTCTCCTTCTTTTGCTCCCTTGTTTACTGAGCGGGGTGTTCAGTTTTTCTATTTGATCGTACGTATTGCGTTCTCAAAGACTTCGAGAGTTTCAGCTACAACATTTTTTTTTACTTGAGGTTTGGCCAGTGGATTTCAGGGCATTTTGTCTGATGCCTCAAGTTTCACATTTTTTCTTACCTCATGAACCCAGAGACAGACAACAGGGCTGAAGTTTCAGCAATCACTGCTAGTGATAAATCAAGCTCCATCAATTTATTTTTATTTATCTATTTTACTTTTATTGTTAATTTATTTAATTTTTAAATATTTTATTTTATTTATTACTTTATTTTAATAATTATGCCCAAAACCTGCCACCCTTCCAAACCAGCTGCGCCAGTAGCTCGGTGGCTATAGCATCCGACTGCCACCATACCAGCCCGGGTTTGAGCCGTGCCAGGGCTCAAACTTTAACCTTAACGTCTGCAATGCTCCTAGCACATCACTCGTTTATAACGCTCGTTCGTGACAATTTTATGGTAAAAACGACTTGTAAAATATGTTCTGTGTTAAAGGCCATTTCTGGAGATCTGGGAACTGGCTGGGTCCCTCCTCTTAGGGCCCTTGTTAAAACCTCGTGGAAATGGAGCGTGCTGGTAAGGCTACGAGGAGCATTAGGTGAATGACGAGGACAGAACGATACATCTCGCCACTTATGTCATTCCCCCCTAACACTGTCGTTAAAACCCTGTTGCACTTTGCTGCGATTTCAGTGTGGTGGTACAGAAGCACTGCGTGCTGGTGTGCAACTCCCCTCCCTACCGCCTGCCGTCGCTGGAGAGCCCCGTGTATGCCGGCCACACCGTGGATCAGCTGGCTGGCATCATGGCGGAGGTAAGAGCTCGGCAGGCGAGGGACCAAGATGGCGGTGTCCTTTCTCTTCTGCCCCCGACTTCAGACTGGTTGAGAGGCAGTCACGGTACAAAAACTCGAAAGAGCCTTGCAGAGCACCGAGTCATGGGTGGAGCATATTTTTCGCTGCGGGTTCGCAAAGTGTAGGTCTTGCACTCAAGTCCGACGATCCAGTGGCTTCTTAGGCCTTTGAACGCTCTGCGTACAGGCTGGGTAGTGTGTAATTTTGTTCCTTGTGACGTGGAGAACGTTTTGATTTGTCTATTGCAAAGTTCCATTGAACAGACTTTGTGCAAGCACTCTTCTGATTTGCAGTATGCAAGGCACAACGTTGCCTGTGCAAGCCAGACGTTCAAGCGCCTCACTTTTACGCATTTTAATGCAGCACGACAGTCACTTTCGCGATAATCTGACATGAAATGGCAGAGGATCGCGACGCTCTGCTTTGCAAGTGAAGCTCTATGGTTGCTTAAGATAGACAACTCTTGTATTCCGCCTTGTGGGAACAGAAATTTCGCGTGACTCCTTACTTAGATTTTTAGTGTCCATCAAGCAGTAGCGATCCATCGCTCAAGTACATGCGGGAACAGTGTCTGTCCGTACCTATACTGGCCGCTGCGAGAATCGCGCTCGTGCCGCCCAAATACGCTGCGCCAGTATTTATTTCACTGGACAGGCTGGGCTACCGGAGACTTCTCAAAATACAGTCTAAGCTCATTACAACAGACCTAGTTACAACAGACATTTGGATATAACATACCGATTTGTGAAGTTTGGTTGGTTTTCCTCTATGCACCATTGACTCAACTTCGTATCTGCATACTACATAGTACTCCTTTTACAACAGACCGGAATCTCGGTCAAAATCAAGGTCTGTTATAACGAGCTTAGACTGTAATAATGTTTTCGAAGGTTTTTTTCTTTAGGTTCTGCATGCATCACATTGTGTAATGCATCTTCGACAGCATAATAACGAGAGAATTATGGTTAATGTGACTTCAACTGGCTCATAAACTCGGCTTTTCACTTACCGGATTGAATTGAAAATTTGCGTTTCTAGCGGCAGGTCAACTTCAGCATTCTCTCGCCAAGAAAGATCCCGGCCCTGTACAAGCTCTACGAAAAGGTAAGGGCATTAAGGCCATCTCTCTCGTCTCTGGATGAAGCTGCGGGGGCTTGATGATACGCGTCTTTCGCCCAGGCTGGAGGAGACTTGCAGCTGGCTCTGGCCAAGAACTACGCCAAAGACCGGAGACACATGGTCCTGCTCAGGGGCTACCAGTTGCAAGGTATTGTTTGTCATTGTCGTCACAGCCGACGTTGGCATTGTCCGGGCTGTTTGAAACACTAAAATAAGAAGCCACAAACTTTTCTTCAAAATGCCTGCGAGCTGTTTGGGTTCTACGAGAACATCGAACTACTCTCCTTTGTCGTACGAGCAACGCAAAGCACTGAGACCCTACAAGGGGACCCAATGCCACCTGCGGGTATAAAAAAAAGAAAAGGGTCTACCTAGTATTTTATTTTCGAGAGCTCGAAATGAAACGGCATTGGGGAGCAAAGGGTCAGTCAGAGTGGCCACTACTTCATACATATCTTTTGGTGAATTCTGCTGGTAGGTCCGGAGCGCTTTCCAGATTTTGCATGGGAGGCAAAAATCTGCTCAATGGGACCCGCTCTGAATGAACGAGCGGAAGATGGACTCGCATTTTTGGAGCGACCCGCGCGAGACGGTCTGCCGTTCAAAATGGCTGCTGCTCGTACTTGACCAGCCTACCAACGCCTTGGCCAACTGGGCTAACCGATGACCAGTCACTACTTTCACTGTTTAGCTATGGAAATAACACGCGGCACAGACTGGGCGCAGTATCCATACCAGGGAGCCCATGTCGCAAGTGACAAGGAGGATGTCCGCATTCTCCACTGTCGCATACTTTTTGGCCGCCTCAAAGCGGCAGGGCATGCACAGCGATCACATTCAGTGGAACCTAGATTGCTGGTGAGACTTTAATAAACATAAAGACGTGACAAACCATCACTTGCACAGTTGTTTCCTTGTCAGTTCTTGCTTTATTGTGCAAGAAAACGCTGGCGGCATGCAGTGTGAAAGGGTAAACAATCAATTGTGGCAAAATGAACAGGCCTAACCTTGCGTCTGCTTCCTTGAGATTTTCTGTGGTCCTTTTTCTTGTTCTTCCTTTCACGACCACAGAAGTCAGTGCTTACAATTTGTCGCGCTCCAGTCCTGGCTCTGCACCCCTGATCTACGCGAGGTAGAAGCATTTGAGTGTGCATCACAATCCTGCGTAAACAACCGATGCATCTGAACAGGTCCAACTGCTCTACAGCCCGACCAGTCTGGCGACCTCGCCGCGCGTGCACACCGCTCAGTTAAAAAAAATGACGTAGCACGCTTCTGTCGACTTTCGCCAAGCTTCGTAAAATTCCACGGATCAAGTTCAGCGGGGTTGGAGGCACTCCACGCGGCGGGCGCTGCCACGAATCTACGAGCTGAAGGTGACCAACTGGAGCCAGATCTGCCAACGGAAGATGTGTGCTCCAAAGGGGACACTCTTGGAGTGATCCAAATCAGCGAGCGGAATTCGCCATTACATACTGCTGAGTGCCTATGCTGTCGCATGTTTCGTTTTTCATTTTCTATCGCTGTTTGGCTTTGAGGCAAAGTGTCGGCCTACAAGTCCCGCTGTGGTGAGTTTGAATCTTGGCCGAGGTGTCCGCAATCTGATGGAGCCGCATTCGGAGGAGGAGCCACATTACCAAGGTTTTGGTCGCACGTTGAAAGATTCTCGGGTGGTCGAAATGAATCCTTGGTCGTCTGCTGGAGCGTACCAGATGCTTCGTGAGTCTGGCTCATAGAACCCCAGATTTGACTTTGGGGATTGCAGTGTGTAGGCACAGGCAGATAGTATATTTTGAGTCTGAAGCGAATTCGAAGCAAATAGTGGTTTTGGCCAAGTATTTTTGAATTGAATATCAAATAGTTGCTCTAAACTTTTCACTACCATGCATTGTGCTTAAACAAAAATTCGACTGAACGCGTGAAGGTTGTTCTCAACCTTAGACTTGTCCACTTCTAAGCTAGACCAATTTAAAAATACAGCAGAACCTCATTAATATGTTTTTCAGAAATCCACAAAAAAAAAAAAAAAAAGTATCATCTGGGAAAACGTAACAACTGATAACGCAGTTAGGGGAGCTTTACATGAGATAGAAAGCAGCTCTTATACAAGGGTTTATTTTATGTGTATTTCCAGAACTGTTGAGGACTCGGACATGTTCACGAAAGTGCATAATGTCCGCCTGCTGCTTCGAATGAATGTTTAGCAGTAAAAGACGTTTCTCCAGGAGACGCAGTCCTCTCTCACTCTCCGTGCAGTCGTGAACATTTTTGTAGCAGCGCAAGGTGTCCCAAGCAACGATCGCATGTGCAGACGTGGGTGCAGCGTAATTGTTTGTTTCTTGCTCAACATCTTCATCACTTTCTTTGTTATCAGCAGTAGTGAGGTCGGCCACAATCTCCGCTACGCTCTGCGGTTCAGAAATAACGCCATTGTCGTCAGGCGACGCATATTCACAGTATGTGATGGCGACGATGCTGTTCAAAGTTGACGGCATGCGTCTGAGGTCTCTTGCGATGTCAGATTCCTTCCGGCTAGGATTGCAATCCACCGTCTGAAGTATATCAAAAATTTCTCTTTAAAAGAGAGTGCCTTCCTTTTATGGGTGCAAAGTGCACATACTCCGAAACACCACTGTTCACGCGATCGAGCGGAACAGAAACTAGAAGCGCAGCTTGCATGCGAGTGCACCTCGTGCCAGAGAAAGAGAAGGTCAGATGAAAGAGAGAGCAAAAGAGAACGAGCGTTTGCCGCCTTGCCAGCCTTGCTCCCCGTCCGAGCAGTGCTCCAAGGTCACACTCGGGCAGGATGAGAAGCTGTGGTAGAGCTCAGCAGAGCCCTGCGAGGAGACAGAGAGACGGAAAAGAGTGGTAAAAGGGGGAAGACGGGCGTCTGCGTTCCTACGCGTGCCGTGCGACCCGCATTGCATGGTTCGGCTTTGCTCTGCTAGCTTCGCTTCGAAGCCAGCGTGTCAGCCTGGCATCTGGCGCGCCGAGGCGCCGCGATGCCGACACTTTTGGACGTAACAACCGGGAAAGCAAACGTAACAGGCAGGAAACTAATACATGTATCTCTACGGAAGTAAAATGGGACCAGCGTTTTTGAACGTAACAGCCGGGAAAACGTATCAACCGAGAACATATTGCCGCGCGCAGGGTCACGGACTTCTAGAACTTTCTCGTTTATTCTTGCTTCGGACATAAATTCAATCGTTTATCCCTGCCATTGTTGTTCTAGAAAGTGCGTGTTCATTCTCGCCCCGAGCGCGCTACGCTCGAACCTTCTCCGCCGAATCTTCGAGATAGTGACTCACTCTAGATAAGATGCCGCCCGCGACATTGTCGAGTCGGTTTTCGCCCCAGCGTTCGACTCTGCTCTTTCGCCGACCTTGACGCCCGCGACGCTGTGCTGTTATCTTCTGTTTCCTTTTTATTTTTGGGTACAAGTTCACCCCATTAAACATTTAGTTTCTTCAGTTATTATCGCCTCATCACTTGTCATTCGTGACATTTCGGTGGAGGTGCGGGGTAGTGCATTCTATGCCCGTTAAGCGTACCCCTCCGAAGACATCCCGGCCAAGCGACGTGCTCAGCCCCGGAAGGCTACCCTTTGTCGAAGACGCCGAAGCCCGAAGAAGCCGCCGTACCGTAGTTCAACTCCCGCAATCCGGACCCCTGCTGCTCAAGGCGAAGGAGAAGATCCCGACAATGACCACCCCGCCCGTCGTCGTCCTGCCCGTTTCTCCGCGATCGCCCTCTCCCTTCCTCGGCGAGACCTACGAGGACGTCGAAGACTGGATCAACTAGTACCGACGCGTGGCTCGCCACAACGGGTTGAGTGGCGAACAGCGCCAGCAGAACCTGGAAGGCGCTGGTTCGAAAACCACGAAGCTTCCGTGACTTCATGAGAGCTTTGCAAGAACGAGCTGACGCGTACGTTCGCCAATCAACATCGGAGGGAGAGGGCCGAAGATCTGCTGCAATCCTGGACCCAGCGCCCCAATGAGAGCGTCACGAGTTTCGTGGAAGATGTCCTGCACCTGAGCTCCCGCGCCGACCCTCAGGCCACCGACGAAAAGAAGCTGCGTATTCTGATGCGCGGCGTGAAGGATGACATCTTCGGTGGACTCGTACGCAACCCACCGACGTCCGTTCAAGGATTTGTCACGGAAGCCACGAATTTAAAATTTGAATGAAAAATAAAAGGCGTGAATTACGATTGAGGGTTGCTGAGGCATCAAAGCCTACCATCCTCGCACGATTGCGTTGGGTGAGCCCTGTTGAGTGCGGTTTTCACCGTGCACCTATGCACTGCAGGGAAGCAATACCCACAGAGCCCGCTCGGTCAGAAGTGCACTTGACGGGGCTGACCCGCCGCAGTCGACGCTTCAGAAAGCGTGAATATTCGCATGAGCCTAGTGGCTTGTTTTTCCCTTTGGCAGAGCGCCCGGTGAGTCCTCAGGCCGTCGTGTCAGAGGTCAAGGTCGAGCCGAGCCCGCCTCCCGCGGCCCCGCCACTCAACCCTCGTAGTCCGGCCACCACGGCCGTGGCACAGAAGCGCCCCGCCGGTGGCTCTCCCCCCAACCCCCGAGAGGCCAAGGTGTTCAAGCAGCCCACTTCCCAGGGTGAGCCCCAAGATGCCTTCCAGCCTGACCTTCGCTCGCCCGCATTGCGTGGGGCACTCGAGCTAGCTCCGTGCATTCCGGCGGTTTGGGTGTCCCGAATTTGAGACAGCAGGAAGAAGCTGCAGAACACGTTCCACGGTTAGAGGGAAGTTGAGTTTGCTTACTTTCCCAACCTCGGCAGTGAGCGTCGTGCCATTTGAGTGCCATCTATCGAGAGCCTTTGTATCATTTCAGCTGCAGGCTTGAGCTGTACGTCCTTGTTGCAGCTGTTGGGATGTCTTATTGAGGCTTTGTTGCCCTCGAAACGGAGAACGTGACGACGCGTTTGCTTTCAGCGTCCCCCATGAGCACCATGGGGGGCTCGCCCCAGCAGCCTCCAGGGCCCCTGGCCTTCCAGAACCAGGGGTCTCGACCTGGGGTGCCAACTCCGCCCACATCTCACTTGGCAGCCATCAATCAGGTGCAGTCCTCGTGCCATGCTGGGACACCAGGTCCAGGGTGGTGGAATCTGGGGAGAAAAGAATGTAAAGGATGCTTTTTAACGGATTTGTCCTTCCATCCGTCCATGCACTTTCTACTAAATCTAGCGGGGAAATTGACATTGTGTGACCTGATGTCGTAAGACGTATACACCAATTGAGTTTCCCCCCTAAATTTGGCGGGGAAAATGATGTCACCTGACCTGTACGCCAATTCAGTTTCCCCGCTAAATTTAAAGGGCAAATCGGCGTCACACGATCTGATGTCACGAGGCCTAATCGCCCATTCGGAATACAATGGAACCCGGATATATTGAATTCAAAGGGAATCGTAAAATAGTTCGATATATCAGTAATTTGATATACAAAAATACGTTAAATTAAGCTCGAGGTGAAATTTTCTGGCATCACTGCTAATACCGAAGGTTGCGACAAACAGGAGCTTTCGAAATAGAGCATCCAAGAGCCGCTAAATATAGTAGAGCGTAATTGGTGGAGACCGCAAACACCGGCGCGCTTACACGCGCAACCTGGCTGGGGCCTCCAAACAGCATCAGTGACACAACACGAAAACAGTGAAAAGAAAATGAAAGAAAAATATAAAAGCAAGGTGAATAAAAAAAAGTTAAGCTAGCATCAAAAAAGAAAGCTCACCAAATTCAAGTAACAAAAAAAAAAAAAAAGCAAAAAAAAAAAAAAGGGGGGGGCAATGCAATATTGGCAAAAGAAAAAGGTAAACAAAGAGAAGGCGTGGAAGTGGAAGTGCGATTGCACAACCGTTGTGGTAACACTCAACTTGCCGAAGACTTTTTTTCTTTTTGCTCATATTATTTTAGGGTTAGGGAGTTACGCAGCATTAGCAGAGTTCGGGGAAAGGGCGCAGGTTACCGTCCCGACAGCGGGTACTCCCTGCTCTCCCTACGTGCTCTTGCTCTCCCTACGCACTCTCCCTATGTGCACTTCCCCTTTCTTTTGCCATGCTCCACTTTATTTTATTTTTTATGGCTCATTGTTTCTCATTTTTCACAACTGCTGTTTCGCTGCGTATCTTGCCGCGTGTATGCTGGCTTAATGGTCTGCCAGCCTTACAACGCAAGTGATGTGCTCGCCACCGGCGCAGTTGGATCGGATCGCAGTAAAAGCAACGGGCGGCCAGGCTTCATTCGCTATATCGAGAGTCCCCGCCATGGGAATTCGATACAAAAAGACAACGCTCCTTAGCATTACATGTGATTTTCAAGGGGATGTTTGGACTGTTCGATATAAACAATAATTCAAAATACCCGGGTGTGATATGACCGGGCTCGAATGTACTCGTTGCCTCTGTGTTGTTGGGGGTGACACTAATTCCCGGCTGTTCGGCTCGTCCATCGATGCAGCCGAATCCACCCAACGTGACTCTGCGATCCATTCCGGACTCCATGAACAGAGCAACTCAGAACCGATCTCCAGTCACAATTGGTGAGTGCCTTGTCCCGACTTTCCAAATGAACTACGAGCGGCAAGCTTTTGCTGGATTCTTACTCGTACCGCAACAGATGTTCAGTGTCCCACAGGTAAGAACACACGCATGCCGTAACTTCTGCTCCGTGGAAAGTGCTCGGTATTTCGTAGCTCTGACGGGTTGAAATACGGTAGAGCATACTTTATTTATCTTTATTTACTTAAGAAATACTGCGGATGGTTTTTCACCATCCAAGCAGGAGGGGGTTATGTCAGTTTTAATGCGAAAGCATTAACTGGTCCCATGGAGCGAACTGGCGTTATCGGCTCTTGAAGCCGTTAAATTCCCCTGTCCCATGAAGCGAAGCCTGTAGTCTGTAGCGGAGAATTGATAGAAAACTCCCATTGGCTGGCGCGTGGTGTAGTTCCAAGGAATGTCACCCCATGGCATGGTGCAGCGGCCCAGCCGCCGGTTAGAGGAAGAGGGTGGTGGGGCTCTGCAGAGCGGCCGGCCGCAGAGCCCGCCCAGGCTGGCTGCACAGAGGTCGCCCGGCCGGACTTAGCGCAGCGCGCTGCTTGGAGGAATACGCTATGTATACGAATGCTTACGCATTTTTACACGTTAGCAGTCTTATGTGTCTTTTTTGAACAAAAGTTTCGAAACCGTCGATATTCGGAGCACCACAAGCTCAGGGTAAAGAAACAAATAATTAAGAGAGAGAGCAACTTAAACAATGGAGAGTGTTTGCAATTCAGTTGTGGACACCTGTGGAACGAAGTGTGTGGCCAGGAATTATTTTTTAGGGGGGGGAGGGTGGTGCTTGAGGTTCCTGAGATATCCATGGCTTTGGGTGCGGGAAGGAGTTGGAGGAGGAGGAGGTGCTGAAACCACGTAAGACCTCCTCCCCCACCCCCCCTGGTTAAACCACTGCTCCTGCACCGATTGGTCGCAAGTGAGTATGCGTTTTGTTGTCGTATGGCGAGGAGCAAAGCAGGTGGCGAGGTGAAGACGCTTGCAGGCGATCAACACTTTCGTCACCTCCTCACAGCCCGTAATGCAAACAGTTGGAAGCTGTTCGCAGTACGGAGCAGTGGGAGCACTGTAATTTAATTGTTTTCCCTATCCTGTCCCGTAGCAAAGTGTACATTGATCAAGCGGGGAGGTGTGCAAACATCCGGGCGGGAGAACGCCACCTTTCGCTGCGCTCCTGCGCACCTCGCCGTCGGGGCATCTTGCGATCCGCCTCGACGGACGTGCGTGTTCACCATTGTTCGAACAAATCAGGATTTTAGCGCGACACAAAAATGAGATGGCGAGGGAAATCGACGAGGTTTTCTTTATTGACAGTTACGAAGCAGGCACGTGAGTTAGCGTCCCGTCGCCGAGCTCGGCTAGTGACGAGGTAGATTTTATGAAGGGGTGCAGCAAGGTTCTTTCGGCACGTGTCAGCATGCTGGGTGTGTTTTTGTCGGGTTGTTAGGTTTTTTTCTACCTTTTACATCTCGTTTGCTCGCTGCTTTGTGCAGGAGTAAAATTTTAGTTGCCAGTCAGCGCCGTGCACATGCGGGAGATTGTATGTTGGTCAATGTGGGCGCTGCATTAATGTAAGACTACAACAGCATGACCTTTTCCTACTTATCTCCTATTTAAACGAAAGCTGAAGCGGTTCTGTATTTGAGTTAAAACACTTGAATCGTCTTCATTTGGCCTTCAGGATCACGAATATCGAGGTTATTTTTTTAATTTGGTGCACGAAGGCTGCAGAAAGTAATTTTCAAAGTACCGCTTCCCGAAACGTTTTGTCATAAAGAGTTTTCGAAATCTCCGCTCTGCCACATCTTCAGCGCCTATTAAAGCTGTGCACGCGCACTCTTGCTATTTTCAAAAAAGATCAGAAAAGGACATCACGACTGGTGTCAGTGCGGGGGAATATACCTGGCAAGCTTGCAATTGCACGCGCTGCCTGCACGAGGGAACGCGCTTGGCGGCTGAAATATCCCTTTATGACGTAACAGCGACTGGTCGGAGGTCTTTTGTGTTTTCTCGCATTTAGTTTCATTTTCTGAGAAAACAAACATGATATTCATGTTTATGGGAGAACTCTAAAATTCACCTCCAACTCATTTTTATCATGAACCTTTTCAGCTTCCCTTTAATCAAACAAAAGTCTTTAGTCGCATTTGGAGCAAGAGAGTCAGAGAATTTTTTTAGGCAAAATTTATAATAGAAAAAGGAGACACGTGCATTAGCAGACCATCAATATCACTGTCTGAGAAAGAAATGGGAAGAAAGAAATGAGAACGAAATAAAAAAAAACTCTTCTATCTCTCTCTTTTTTTAATTTAATTATGTTAATTTTTCTATTTTTTTATATTTTTAAATATTTTTTGAAATTTTTGTGCGAATGCCTTTAGCAATATATTTTTGTCTTTGTCCTATCACTCTCGTTTTTCCTTTTCACGCATGAAACAATCAGTTGATAGTAAGCGCTTGTCCTGTCCGTGTCTTTGTTTTGTCCTTGTCCTTTACGCTTTTGTATTAAAGATTTTTACTCAACTAGCCCAACAGTTAATTATAATTCAGCGCTGCGTTTGTGCACTCCTTCCTCTAGTCTTCCGTCTTCTCACTTGAGCCGTGGCCTAGGTACACTAGTCCCCCCTCGTGACGCCTGGCCCTCGTGCGTCCAGGTGGCGCAGGGGTGCGCATGCCCTGGAGCGGGGGCCCGCCCCCCTCCGTGTCCACGCCCCCGACCAGCATGCCCCTGCTGGCGAGCCAGCTGTCCAACGCCCCCATGGCCAGCGGGGCCCCCATGCGTCCCGCCCTGCCCACCACCGTCACCTACGTTTCCGGCTCACAGATGCAGACAGGTGATGCCACCCGCCTTCCCGGCTATTTCGTAGGCTCCGAGCCCTAATTGGGGGTTCCCCAACTATTCAATTTCAGGGATGCTTGCCTCGACCGACATCCGAGGAATCCCTCCTTGCGTTGGCATTGGTGCAGTCAAGCTGTTCAGCATGTTGAATAAACCTGAGACTGTGGCAGAAATGAACACACAAGTCGAAGAAACAGAAGAGGACAGGACGATGTCTCAAAATTCTTCGACTTATCTGTTTATTTCTGCCCCAGTTTCAGGTTTATTCAACGTGGTTAACATTCACCAGCTCGTCTGCACCCTTACTATATTAAAGCTGTTCGGGAGCCTTCGAAGCTTGTTAACAGGAATGAACATACTAGGGAATGCATCAATAGGTGATATGTTCGAATTGTAGCTAAAGTTTTACTTAGGGGCAGTCGAGAAAATTTGAGAGCTTGGGTAGCCCGTGTGTTCCTCGGAAGCCAGTCTGAGAAACCATGCCTCGGTTACATGGGCACCCTTAACCGCAGTCAGGGGTGCCCATCGGAGGTCAGACTTAACTGCGGTCAAAGGTGTCTGACGGGTATCCTAAACCACAGTCAATGTGTAAGTATGATTAGCAGTTACCGCCAACTGTGCCCTAGTTACACGCAGGGTTGTAAGAGTTATTTCAGAAATGTCCCTAAGATACAGTTACAGTTACCCATACAAAAAGGTACCTAGGTACTCGCTTAGAAATGTACCTAGATTCAGGTACAGTTACTTCAAAAATATTTCATTTATTTTCCTCAAGTTTGCCGGAATACAGTGGAAGTAAAACTTGTTATACTAAGGATACTTACAAAACCGAGTTTGAGAAGTGTGCTTTATTGGTGTCAATGCGATGTCCACATCGGAGTCGAGTCCTCATGTGCCTTATCCCCACGCTGCAATTGGTTCACCGAGGCCACAGCCTTCCACTGTTTAGCTTGTCACGCCGATACTGCGAAACTCGCTTGTTGACTTTTTTGCCGTCGGAGCCAGTGCTGACATCGACGGGCCCAGAAGACATCGGCCGCATGAAGAAACGCATGAGTCGAGTGCATATGCACCTAACCTTTGCGAGGACGAGCGACAGGCTTCAAGCTTCCTTGTTTTTTTTCTTTCCTTGGTCGGAAGAAAAATTACCTTTTTTTTCTTCCAATTGAGTGGAAGCTGTATTATATACGTGATGTTACATTGCTTTACGATTGTAATTGTAATTTATTTTCAATTACATTTTATATTGTATTTATGGCAGAAGAGGGCCACCACCAGGACAAGATGCAGGCAACAGAAACTGTGCACATCTTTCAAGTTATCTCCTCCCTTGTATAGCTGTCAGAGGAGCTTCGAACACGCAGTGAAGTTGATTTCGGTTTGAGGTGAAGGAAGCAGGTCGCTATTTTTCCTAAACAGAGTTCCGGAGCGATTCAATGAATTGATGCCGCTAGAATGGCATCGCTAATCCACCGTTCACTCGAATGAACACCGCCATTCGCTAAAGTGTCGTTCAATGAAACATCATGGGCGGGGCTTCGTTCGCTATAACGTCGTTCAATCAAGTCAGTGCCTCCCAGGTCGTACCCAACTCAACGTTAATCACGGCACATGGTAGGGTGTTAATACTTCAAGATTTACAGTTTCTACCATTTTGACGAAGTGAATAGAAAAGTACCTGAAAAAAGTAACTTCACTTAGTTACAAGTTACTAGAAAATGTACCTTAGATACAGATACAGGTACCGAGAAATGAAAGTATCCAGGTTTGTACCTCAGGTACAACAAAAGTACCAAGATACTGATTTCCAATTACTTGTACCTAGGTAGTACTTTAACACCCTGGTTACACGGTTTAATCCGTTTAACCAGGATTACACGGGTTAGACCGTGTCTAATTTGACCTCAATCGCGCTTAACTGCCCGTGTAACGTGACTGAGGTCAGACTCGACCGCAGTAAAGTGTATCCGACGGGCATTTTAAATGCAGTTAAGCGTAAGTATGGTTGGAGTTACAGTCAAGCCCACTTATATCACTGTGCAAAAATCATAAAATAGTTTGACATACCGTATTTACTTGAGTAATGGCCCCACTATTTATGAGCGAGTCCCTTGCAGTGCTCTGCGGCCCTTTGCTGCAGAACACATACGGCCAATTGTCGCGTTGAGCATAAATAACGTAGCAAATAACTAGGTCGAGAACATGATTCTGTATAAAAATGCAATCTTCAGAGATGGTACATTCGTGCAAGGATGTCAATTCTGTCCCGTAAATTGGCGAAATCATACTGTCACAGCAATTGGCAATCCACGTTCTCTGCGGAAAAGGGAGCCGTCAGGTTTTCTTCAAAAACGGTGTGGCCATTACTCGAGTAAATACGGTAGGAAAAATTCTATATACAAAACAAAGAAAAAAAAACGCACGTGAGGGGTATGCAGTTTACACAGTTGTGAGCTTACTCGCAGTTCTTACTAGCCTGCACTTCACCATTGATCGGAGCACTTTCTTAAAAACATGACAATCATTTATTGGGGCGAGATGAACCGCGTAGCCCGTTTTTTGACGTCTGTGCGACGGCTTGCCGCTCGCAACGGGCCGCTCCCGAACGACCTTGGCGGCGATATCGATGTCGATCACGTCCGCCAGGGTTCCCGTGACGCCGTCGTTGCCGACATCCGTTTCTTCAAGCTGGCAGCCATCACAATCGGGAAGAAACGAGCAAAACTAAGGCACCATAGTAAAACAACAGGAACACAATGCAGGGACGTGGGCGAGGGGATCGGTGACACCGCAGTGCACTACGTGGCGCTTCCGGTGCCAATGGAATGTGCGCACAGAGCCGGTCAAGTGTTAGAGTCGTGAGCACCTGCCGCGCCACTGTTGCGTGCCGATGTATCGCAGGGAAGCCTGCCACTTGCCTCCAGAGCGCACAATCTGGTGCGGGAGAGTTCGACACATCCGTTATGAGCCCGATCATGTTCGATATAAAAAGTCTAAACTGCACGGCATTTTTATCAGAATTCTGCGAGGGTTCGATATGGGCAATAATTCGACTTACCCGCGTTTCGATATAACTGGGTTCAACCATACTATCAACCATAACCTTGTTACACAAGCACCCTGAACAGCAGGAAAATCTGACCCCAATTGTGAAGCTTTTAAGGGCGTCGTGTGACTAGGGTGTCGGTGGACATTGCTAAACCCTGTCTCGCGAGTCGTCTTCGGTACCGTAGTCGCTGACAAGCTGAAAACGGCGGGGGGAAGGGGGGGGGGGGGGGTGAGCTTCCTATTTTCGACAACACTTTGATGTCTTGCACATTTCAAATGCACGCGCACACTCAAATTACGGCGGAAGGCACGGAGTGCGTGCTGAAGGCCGGGCGTTGGAAAAGCACTCCCTTCCGTTCTCACTTTGTTTGTGACTATAGTGAATGCTTTCAAAGGTGCTTTTGCCCCTTGAGTGCTCGTGAAAAGGGTGCGTTGTGCCGAACCACAATCTACGGCTGTGCCTTCGTTAGCACCGACGATCTGGATCCTCGGCACGTGCTGCGCAGCGGCGATCACGCGAAGGGCACCGAAGCGGACAACGGCCGGGTGTACGAACGCCGAGAATAATCAAGGAAGGCTGGGAAAATGTGGATAATTGCGGTAAACATTTGAAACTGTAGTTTAGTGGTTATGTTCGTCACGTGCGAGGAATTGCAAAGAACGGGTCAGACCTGGGTCGCGCTTCGTGACGGCGTTGGCGACGTTATTAGGGTGTTTTAGAATAACGTACACAATTTTAGCGCAGGCTAGTGCTAAATTTAGCGCTTGCGTTAGCACACGCTACGCATGAGAGTTTTAGACTAGCGTTTCTGCGCCGCGATGCAAAAGCCCAAGCGTCTCGCGCTTGCAACGTCACCAAGATACGTGGTCATAATTTTTATTTCACACTCGAAATGCTGTAACTTAAGAAAAAACAAAATTTTTTGTCCAGATTAACATTTTTGATTTGTTTAAACATGAGAATGCGCACGTGAGTGATCGTTTGGTCGTGTCGCGTCACCTCGGCAAGAGGTGTCTCATGTACAGACCTTCGCACACAGTACCTTCACTGAGAAATGGTTGCGCGTCGCAAGCATCAAGTCGCCAGTGATGGTTGCCCACCTTACTGGGTTTTCCAAATTGAGTGCAATGTCGTCCCGCATTGAAAATCGCAGTCGCAAGGATGTCGCCGACGTCGCCCTTATGACACCGTTAAAGCGGCCGCAACCATGGTCCTGGGGGCCACCATTTTTTTTTTAACTGTACTCGTCTTGGCTTTAGCCAACTTCTCATCACGAATCCTCCTTGGAAGAGCCCAAAGACTCTTTGCATAGGCACGTAATTTCCAAAAAATAGTGTACGCTAAAATAGCGCTTGCAAAGTGCAAAATGTGATTAGCGTTCGGCGCATGCGCAGTGGCAATAACGCTATTCTTTGTGTATGCAAAACTTAGTATGCGCTATTCTAAAACTCCCTATTAGATAGAGTAACGTCTGTTGTCGGGTAGCCCTACAGCGCGACGCCGCGACTGGATACCGCGATGTCGGGAGGCCCAGATTCGCGTAGGTGAAGCTGGCGCATTCTGTGTATGGGATGTCCTGGCGGTCGCTTACCGGACCGTCTCCGTACCTGCAGGCTTCCGAGGTGGCCCCATGCGCATGGCGGGGCCTCCCGGTGGGGGAGGGGGCGTGCCCCCGGGGGGTGTGGCGCCCCCCCCTAGCACCCTGGCGGCCCAGCTGAACCAGATGCCACCCTCGTTCCCGCCCGGCCAGGGGGGCCTGGGGCCCAAGCCCATGCAGCCCCAGGGAGGGCCGCAGCAGCCGGGGGGCCCGCCGCCCCCGCAGCAGCAGCCCCAGCCCGCACCCGGGGTGAGCTCTCCCGCTCTACTTCACGTGTGGGCCGCAGGGGCGGATCCAGAACTTCGTTTTGGGGGGGGGGGGGGGGGGGAGGGGAGGGGTGATGACCCCTCGTCACCCCTGTCGCACCCCCCCCTTAGATCCACCCCTGGCGGGCCGTGCAGCTGGGCAGAGGTCAAGTCGTTTATGTACTTACTGTAAACGACTTAATTTTGGTGGGCTCAATATTTTGCAAATTTCGTCGTGTGCGGGTTTCATGAATATTTTGTGGGCACAAAACTTTTTCGATTGGGAGTGGTTTGCCCTGCATTCGTTACTGTAGGGTAATATGTTTGTGGGATCTATTTTTGACAGTACTTCTCGAGTCTAAAATTCGGCGAAATTTAAGTCTGTTACAGTATTTTGTTACGTACATCGCCAAGAGGACATTCTTGGGGAGTTACGGGAAGTGAATACGCAATATGCGAAAATATGAAAGATAAAAAAAAATGAAGTACAAAAAGCTTATAACAGTATGTCTATTGCGCATCTCGTGAAACTAAAGACATTGGTATGGCAGTTTAGCTCCCATACTTCTTGCAGGGCCAGCTCTAAAGAATTTTTATTCATCGGATGTAGGTTCGATGATGTCACGGCGTCATGTGCCGCTTTGATGTCGTGTCAAGGATACTCTAAACGCATTGTGTTTATAAATCTTTGCGACATTTTGATGCCATCGTGTCATGTGAGGTTGAAGCCATGCCACATGGTCATGCCGAGTTCAGGTAACGCCGTGACATGAGGTCATGTCATTCGATGCTGTGAGATTGTGACAAGCATCATTTGACATATAGTTTTACCTGATGCAATTATGTAAAGTGATGTCACGTGATGTTGCAACGACTTTGTGTACTGTAAACAACTTAAGTTTCTCGAGAACCAAATTTTCGCGACTCGAAAAATATTGGGAGCTTTTGTGCTTGCGGAAATAAAGTCGCGTATTAGTATTCACAGCCATTTGGCAACCTCCTTAGTGCGCCCGTTTAACGAGGAGTGTGAAGAGGACCAATACAACTGCCACGCATTTAGAAAGCGTTTGAGAAACGTCAAAGAGACATTCAATTTCTTGTCGCCGCACTTCCCGGAACGCGGATGGCAGCAGTTAGTAGCGGGGGCCCTCTCGAAATCGGAGGCGTGAGTTTTCAGAACCTGCTGATAGAGTTGTTACAGTCTAGAGGGAAAAGATCCACAGTTTCGACGGGGACCATGTCGGTGGCGACTTTTCGATATACACAAAGAAGCAGGAAAACATGAGTGGCAAGGTTAGTGTTCTACAGTAAAACCTCGTTATAAAGAAGTTGAAGGAGCAGTCGTAATTACTTTGTTATAACCATTAGTTTGTTATAGCCAATGTCCATTTCTTCCAACTATTCAAGCAAGGGGAATTATGATTACTTTGTTATATCCATTTGTTTGTTATATCCCATTTTGTTATAACGAGGTTTTACTGTAGTTCCATTTTGCACAAAAACACCGGCGTCGCACGTCATATAAAAAGAGTCAACGAGCGCTACGACGACCCGTGGCAGCAAAACGAATGCGCCCGACTCGTCATCCGTCTTCTTTCTCCGCTTTGCCGTTGCCCTCGTTCTTCCTCATGATACCGCCGAGCGCTCACAACGCGTCTCGTTCTGCCCCCGTCTTTACCCCAGCCCCCGCAGGGCATGGGCGGCCCGATGAAGGAGCGCCGCACGGTCTGGCAGGGCCAGGTGGAGTACCAGGACAAGATGCCGGGTAACCCCCGCAATGTGTACACCCTCCAGTGCACCGTCTCCACCAGCGTCACCAACGGCGAGCCCGAAGTGTGAGTACCAGGGCACGCCCAATACAGAAACGGGACCCTCGAGAGTCGCGTTTCCGTGGCGATCCACGGTCGGCGACGAGTCGAGGACCCACCAGAAGCTCTGCCTCCGAAGTGCACTCAATGCCTTCCGCCGAACCTCGGCTGCGTGTGCGACAAAGTTTTATAGAAGGCAGAAAGCTCGGGCCGGAGGCGGTAGACCGGCCGCATTCTTGACCCGTCGCCAAGTCGTGGCTTGTTTGGACACCCGCGTCTGCTTATGATCGAGTTGTTACATTCTCTTACGACGAGAGGATGCGCCAGCGCCGTCTACAGGGTGCGGCCGTAAGGACTAACTCATTTGGCATGCCTCGCAAAAATCTAATTCCAAACGAACATACCTTTAACAGGATACGCGAATGTAGTTTTGTGAGAGCTCAACTCAGAAGGAGCAAAATATTAAAAATAAAGCAATATCGAAGGCCGTGTATTTCCTATGTCCCTTACCAGCTTGCTTGTCATTTGCTCACTGCTTTAGGAACTCACTTCTGGGTGGCTCGTCGAACGCAAAAATGCTAAAAACCAATATAAGAGGCTGGCAATGAGCGAAATAATCGTAATAATTTATAGTTTTAACGAAACATCTGAACCATGGCCACCTGGGAGCAAGCTCACAAACCAGTGTGCAGACGACGAAGGTGCGGTATAAGGAATGGGTAATGCACGGTTACCATTTTACGGCGAGAGCTGTTGTTGGTTCTTCCCAACACTGGAAGTGACGTCCATCATTGGTGTTTCATTAGTAGTTGATGTTGTCGTTGTAGTAGTTGTTGTCGTTGATGTTGTATTGGCAATGTAGGGCGTCTGTCGTCGATGTCGCTAAATCCTCAAAAACAAAAACGCCCGTTGCCCGCTGGAGTCGAACCTGGATCTAGCGCGTGTGAAGCGGGCGCGTTACCGCCGAGCAACGCCGCAGCGTTAATAACCCGCTCTAAACTTAAGGTTTTCGTAGTAACCAATGCCCACTCCACGTGCTCTGAAGAAAAAAGCAGCCTGTGAAAAGTTGTTTTCATTGCACCGTCAATGACAAGAACTCGTGCCTGGAGATGCGTTTTCAAGCACTCCGGATCAAAAAAGAAGCAAAAGCGTTCGGAACGAACTGGAACAAAACAAAACTGTTCGGAAGAAAAGTGATGTCTATTTTGTTCCGAACGCTTCTGTTCACGCATTCCACTGCCCCACGGTGCGTGAACGCGACGCCGATACCCAACGACTTAGCCGTGACGTGTTGCAGCTGTGGCCAAGACTGTAGCGTGGACTAACACGGGACTGCGAAATGTTTTTGCTCTATCTGTTAAATTTAACCTCCCCTGACTTGAGCTATAAAAAGATAGACATAAAACGTTTTTGTTCAATCAACATTCGCGTGCCCAACTTTGGGTCGTACGCTTCGAATTCGAATTTTGCGAGGCATGCCAAATGAGTCAATCCTTACGGCTGCATCCCATACGAGGTGACTCTGGAAGAACTGCATTTCACTAGAACGATAGTTTTTGTGGCATTAGCGAGATCAAACATTGGTACTATCTGTGAGAAGCGGTCGTCTGTAACGTCGCCAGACGTTTTTCGAGCTGAGAAAGGAAGAATGGTACGTGCAGCAATGATAGGAAATATATGTAATTGTGGAGGGTTATATAGCTACCTAAAGGTTTTAAGGCACACGGTTGTAAGTGGTCGCGAGTGCGCGGACCGGCCTTGGGGGTGACCCCCGAGAGAGATCGGCGGGCGAGCGCGTTAGCCCACCGCAGCTCGAAACACGCAGAGCGAAAGCCTGCGATGCAGAGCCCAGGGACCCTGAATTTACCGCACCGGCAAAATTCCTCGTTCACGACGTAAACCGGCTTCGCCGCATCTCGAAGGCAGACCGACGTCTTGGCGTCCGAGCACCAACGCCGAATTCTGTTCAGGAGGCGTCGAGTTGACCGCCCCTTCCCTGCCCAGGTGCGCGGACAAGTGGCCCCCAAAGCTCACGCTGCAGCTGATGCCCAAGACGATGCTGATGAACGTGGTGCTGGCCGTGAAGAACGCCGCGCGCTGCGTGGTGCTGGCGTTTGGGGGCGGCCCAGAGGGGGGCCCCGCCGCGGCGGAGGGCCTGCACAAGCTGTCGCGCTTCATGAGCTCGGCTTGGCTCGGCCTGGTGCACTTTGCCAGCCCCCCGGCCGACATCAAGCTCATGCTGGTCGTGTACATGCCCGACAAGAACTTCTACATGGGCATGATCGCAAACGACCAGGAGACGCTGTACGGCGCCGTCAAGCAGGTGGTCGACACGCACCGCAAGCAGCAGCAGACCAAGTCCAAGATGGTGAGTCCCAGACTGCTCTCTGGTCGTGTAGGCGGCTTTGTTCCAGCTTGCTCTTGGGTGCAGCCTATTGTCTGTTTTGAAGTTAAGCAGTTAGGCGTAGAAATAGGGACGAGTCTGTTTGCTCTGCCTTTTTCGTGAGAGGTTGTGCGTGGTAGTTACCCTTACTTCCTTTCCAAGTGGCCAAGTCGCGAAGTCTTGGTCGTAGTGATGTCCCCGGGAGTTTGGCCGTCATAAGTGCAACCGTAATCTTATTGTAAATTGCAAAAAGGGCCTCTTTTGTCTTTCCCCCTCCCCCAACCTTGTTTCAGATGCATTGGGAGCCTGTAAGTGCATTTTTTTTAACCTTCCGGTTTCCTAAGAGGGTATTGTTGCGAAGCAGATGGAAGCTGTGATAATATGAGTCGAAAGCTGCATCGATGATCGAATGAGAAACAGGTCCCAAACCGTGTTTGATCTGACAAACTGGAAGCCAGGGTAGACAAAAATTTGGATCAGTATGATTTTTTTATGCATCTCTTCAGGCTGGCCAGAAGTTTAAATATGATTGGTACAGTTGCTAGTCAAGTAGCTGCAAACGGTCTTCGTAATTGGAGTGGTCGTCATTAAATATGATGCTAATGTATAGAATATTTGTGTGAGTAAAACGTGTGCAAGTGGGCTAGGTAGTTTTATTTAGCGATTAGCAACTTAGGTATTGGTGTTGTACTTTTGGTGTTGCATTGCCATCAGCAAAGAATATTTCAGGCTCTGGAGGTCTAAAAAACATCTGCATTGACGGATAAATTGGAACAGGAGTTTTATAACAATATTACTTTGATCGAAAGCAAGACGCTTTTAAAGTTTACGTTCATTCAGTTTATGTATTAGTGCAACTCATTGCCTGTAGATATACTAGTCTATGCAACTAGCTAGGTCGATATACTAGATTTGAAATGTTTATTGGGTGTGGCTATTTATTGAAATGGTATTTTATATCAGTCAAACTGAAGTTTCTACTTTATTCATCACATTTAAAAAGATAGGGGGCAACAGTGATGTGATTGCTGTGCCATTTACACAAAACTGTGCCAAAGTGCTTACCCTGCTACTTCCTGCTACATTTTACGAAATATGAAACATTTCCACCAACGTTGCACCAAAACCTAATTTCACTTTAACAATACTGAAAATATAATAGCTCGAGCCTCGCTACCCAGCCGGACCGTTACGATACACTCGTGCAAATTTTCAGAACTTTTGATTGTCGCCTCAAATGACATAGTACTGTCGATTGCATATCGTTTCAAAGACTGACAGTACTCGGAAGTTTCGCAGTAATTCTCACGTTCATGGTATGTTCTAAAGAGTAAGTTAGTTTCGTTGAGTGCACTTGTCACGGTGCACTGGTGTACTTTAGAGAAGCGACAACCACGGAGTATTTGTCACACTTTTGCGTGTCTTGCTTCCCCGCAGTGCACCTGTGTGCTAGTGAAAAAGCACTCCTCATGAGCGAGGCTCAACAGTATTTCTGAATGCAACTTGGCTTGTATGACAGACTGCAGTATCCTGGCGGCACCTCTTTCCGATTTGAAATTCAGCAATGATACTTGTACTGTAAGAATATTTACATGCACTCTTTTTTAGGTTTATCTTTTATGCTAACTCCATTGTTTAGTTATCATTTTTATATAGGTGTTGTGAAATGGAACTGTATTGGTAGGAGCAGTGGGTGGAAGCTTGGGAAGAACCTAATTGAGTTTGGCAAGACTAATTTTAAGAAGGCATATTGATCATTCACATGCCCATTTTTGTTATAAAGTTCCACATATAAAATGTAATTGACATTCATAATCAAATGACAAGTGCTTGTTTCTTAACTGAAACATTGTAGTTTTATTACGACCTCTAGATCACGAAGAAAACAATAATTTAGGTGCTTGAAATTACTGTGCTCTACCATTATTTTATTGGGATTCCATACCTAAAATAACCCTTTACAGCAGTTAGTGCTGTCCTTCATCAGTCATTTTCTTGTTGTGTCTGATGCTTCTCCACACAACTGAATGTTAGTTCTGTGTTTGAGGGAATCGCTCCTGCTGTGCCATTGATGCTAACAAAGGGTTCCACGTAAGTGAGAGGGCAAAGTAGACATTGCCTTTTAGTAGAGTAGATTGTTGGGCTAGTTGGTTTTGGAATTTGGAATACATTTTAGCGCTCAAAAAACAGGGACAAAGAGGCGAGAAACAGACAGCACAGTGCGCTACTAACAACTGATTTTATTACGTGAAACGACACTTTTATGCCATCCGAGTTTCTGATTTTGCTCCACCACTAGCCAACCCGGTGCCAGGCCGCGTCATTGAGGAACGCACGCTCCTTGTCCAGTAAATCAATTGAGGCCACGCTGACACATGCTGCACCACCCTTCGCACTGTGCTGTCTGTTTCTCGCCTCTTTGTCCCTGTTTTTTGAGCGCTAAATTGTATTCCAAATTGCCTTTTAGTTTAGTTACAAATTAAATGTGCGTCCAAGCTCCGAAAGTTTTTTTTTGCTGCCCCAAATTTGACTTTTGGCTGCTTCAAGAGCTGCTCCAAAATGGCTCAGACCAATCACATCACTGGGGCAAATATTGAATCAGATGTGATTTCATTTAAAGACAAAGATGAAAAACTATGTAGCATGAACGAAGTCGTGTCTTATGGAGCATGCTTGTAGAGTAAAACCTAAAGGGCATGGTTCGTCTTGCAAGAAATAATAAGAGTGGTGTGGGGAGGTGGCGGGCGTTTGTGAAGGCGGTATTGGCTGTAAACAAGAATGTGGCCACGTTTCGTCTCGGAAACAGGCTGCAATGGCAAGCGTGCCTCTGGCTCCCAGCCCCATGTTCCAGGTAAACAATCCATCATAGCACACAGCCTACCCGATTACAAAGCAGCGGGCTTGATCAGACATTCCCGTATTTCGTTTATCCTGGCGTCTTCTGAGCGTTGTGTGTTTCAGGGATATGTGTACAGCGAGGTGAGTACGGACATTGGGCGTAACCACTCTCTCTCTGCACTCTCTTGCTTGCTGCGCTTCGGTTCTGTCTATGAGTTTGCTCCAGCCTAATCCGCCCAATTGCCCCAGCGAGTCACGCCGAGTTAACATCTGTATGGGAAAGAACCTCTGCGCCTTTTGGGATTCTTGTCTGCCAAGTTGCAGGAGGTTTAGGTAAAGGCTGTGGGGCCAATGGTTACCTACGCATAACCTGATGAGTTCGACGTTGTACTTGAGTGGTGTCGAAGGTTGGTGGAGCTTCGAGGGTAGGCTACGCAAGTGGTAGGATTGGCGGTGGGGTACACTAATCTCTATAGGAATTTGCTGGATCGTGCATCCCCACTTGGTCGCTGCAGCGCAGGTGTGGCCACCGGACGGCCATCTTGCATGTAGCAAAATCGACTTTTTTGTGCGTTGCTGAGGCTGGCGGCAGCGTGCTGAAGACACGTTTTTTACTCGTTTGTCGTCATTTGGCGAAGAAGCGTTTAAAACCTTCTGTAAATGGCAAAAATTGCCTTTAAGAACTCGTAAAATATTTTTACGAAAGTGCACCGCCGCAGGAAAAAGGCACAACTCACCGAAAACAAGTTTCGCCAGTCTCGCGTGGCGTGATCAAAGCTTCCTTGGCACGCCGAAGCGCTCTGTCTCTGTGCCTTCGCACGTTTGGATACCAATCAAGAATCGATGCCGTGTGGATCTGTTTCGTGAGTGCAATGCACATGAAGACGTATGTGCCTCTGGAGCAGTGTTTTACTTTACTCTGACAACTGTATTTGTAACTTGCAGCACTCGCGGTCCAGAAATGAGCTTGATCCAGTGTCCAGTGGGGACGGAAGAGGGGGAGAAGGGAAGGGGGGGCACATTTTTGCTTTGTTTACTATGTAGACGCTTATGGCAATCAATTCAATGGAACAAAAATCTTTATTTCTGTGCAACTGGAGGATCCAGAACTCTGTGACCGATATATCATGCAAAGACATCTATGTGCGACACACCTTCAAAACTTTGCCGCGACGTACGTAGATTCTTGATCAGTATTTAAGCATGCGAAGGCACAGAGACGCAGCACTTTGGCGTGCCAAGGAAGCTTTGATCACGCCGCAAGACCGTTGAAACTTGCTTTTGATGAGTTGCGCCTTTTTCCTGCAGTGCTAATGTTTCGTAAAAATTTTCACGTGTTCTCAAAGGCAATTCTCACCGTTTACATAAGGTTCTAAAAAACTTTCTCAGCGAATGACGATGAACAAGTAGAAAACGTGTCTTCAGCACGCTGCTGCCCAGCCTCTGCAATGCTCCAAAAAGTTGATTTCGATACGTGCAAGATGGCCATCTGGTGGCTGCACTCGCGGAGTGGGGAAGTGTTAGGCCTCATTCACACAGCCGGCGCCTCTCCCATCCCGGCACCGTCACGGGAGCATGCCGGGGCGGGGACGCGACGGCAGAATGTCCGAACAGGCCACGCAAGCAAAGCAACGGCGGCCGCGACGACAGGATTGGATTGGATCGGTTTGCTTATTTATTCAACTTAAATTACAAAATAAAGAGATAATTGTGCCTGAACATTAGTGTGCACGTTTCTTTTTTTGTGAATTAATGATTTGCGTCTGGTATTAGCAATTCCTGCCGAAAAGGAACAAGAAAAACAACACAATAAGGGTTGGCTGACTGTTGGCAACCGAACGATGAAAAATCTTCCAAACTTAGCGAAACTTTTCTATTTTGTTATTGCTCGGTTTTCGATGGGGGCGGGACTCCGTCATCCGCCGGGGTGCCAGTGCCGTAGAGCAGCTTCCTACGTTGCCCGGCACCCGGCGCGGCACAGATTTCCGGAGAAAACCGGGCCGAAAGTCCTCTCCCCTGCCAGGAACGCCCCTCGCGACGGTACCGGGATGGAAGAAACGCCGGCTGTGTGAATGAAGCCTTATCCAGCAGTTGTCATAGAGGTCAGTGGTCAGGTGCACTGATCTCTTTAACAATTTGCTGGATCACGCATCCCGCTTGGTCGCTGTAGCAGCAAGTGCGACCACCAGACGGCCATTTTGCAAGCAGTGAAATCACCTTTTTGGAGCGTGGCAGAGGCTGGCAGCAGCAAGCTGAAGACACGGTTTCTACTCATTCGTCGTCATTCACTGAAGGAGTTATCTTTTGGTTACAACAACAGCGCATGGGTTAGCTCAATGGGCTGGTAAATTTCGCTCATTCTTATAGGTTAATATCTTTTGGTTACAACAATATATAGACGTCTATTTATAGATAACAGTTTCAAAACAAAAATGAAGTAGTGTATGAAATGCTGCGCGAGGGATGCTATTTCTCTCATTTCTTGGCCTCCAAGAGTGTCGACGGTTTTCGCGTTTTCCCAGATTATAGGTCTTTTCTCCTATTCCCTAGAAAATATGTCAACGAGGTTGTGCCATACTGACTGGAAGCCTTTGAAAAGATCAGATCGTTTTGACCGATCGGGCTCACTCCCCTGACTCCCATTCAGCCTCGAACGTCCCCACCTTCGATCGGCCCGCGTCGTCGTCATAATCCGTCCAACATTCCAAAAGATAGCTCACGAATGGCGCTCGTATTTGATTCTACTTAATTTTAGGCTGGAGTTGTCTGTGGGGCTTGGGCTCTTCCGCTTCTCTCTTCTACACGCTTTTGCTTTTCCTCTGGAGGCCCGTAGTTTGTCGAGAACGGGGCTGGACTTGAGCACCGAGGTGGCGGGGCGCTTGCTGTTGCTCTTGCGTACAATGTGGGAAGGAGCATTGCGCTTGCTCGCTGGCAGACGTGGCGCTTGGCATGCAGACGTCGCTACGGTGCTTGGGGCACGTCTCCGACTGGTGTGTTTGGTGTCCCGTTCCGCTGAGACTGTCGGCTGTCGGGTGTCGCGATCCCGGTGGTTGGTGCTAGAAGTTCCGGCAGAAACTACGAACGAATGCGGGTGCCGTTGTCACGAAAGCGTCTCAACTCCTCGCTGCATAAGCTTCCACGGACTGTCAAGCTAAAGAACGGCCTGCAGCAGGGCGGGTGTCTGCCACACACAACACCACCGCTGCGACACTGCCAGGATTACAGCCGGCGAAAACGCGACACTTTAGTGACGTCGTGAGGTGGGAATCGGGGGGCTACTTTTTAGGGCGCAGTAATCACACCAGTCGGAGAAGCGTTCCGAGCACCTGTTTGGGCGAGCCATCGGACGCTCCGTGTGGCAACGGATGCACCCGTCTGCGCCTCTTGCGAGACCTCTAAGATTGTGACGAATGGGTCCGTGTCGCGGAACCCTTTGAATCGGGTGTTGGCCAGCGCCATCTATGGTTGGTGACGGGTTAAAAGTTTGGGGGAAGCTCTCCCACCCCTTTTGCCTTTGGCGGAGCGAACGCAGGTGGGGAGGTCACCTCCCCTCTGACGTTTGCTCTGCTGAACTGGAAAGAGGTGGGAGGGGCTTCCCTTGAACTCTTGACGTGTCACCGACTATGGCCGTGGACGGGCGAAACGTAAACCAGTCTGCCCAGGCTATTGTCGTGGCGAAACGGTGTCCAAATTAACTTGCAGCGAAGGATTATTGGAATGTTGCATTAGATTGGAGCAGATGTTTAGTTTGGTGCATTTAACGCACTGTTGCATTTTTATTGCGTGAAACTGTATAATGGTGGCCAGTTTTGCAGCGTGGATGGTAAGAACGCTCGTCCTCATTGTGTCTCGTTTTAGTGTACATTTTGCGTGCGCACTTTTGACTTTGGAATTCTGCCTGGAACCCTGCTTTATTGTTTTGTCTAATGCGGCAGTAATGAATCTGTTGAAAAGGTAGTATCAGCAAAACAAATTTGCAGTTCTTTGTTTTGGGGAAATGGGGGTGGAGGAGCAATTACTAGTTCTGACGAACGGTACTTGAAGACAATGTTACCTGGCAGGAGAGCTGGTTGTTTACATTTTAAGATGCGTTTGTCCTTCTTTTTCACCTCCACCTTGAGTTTTAGTATGTCGAATGGTACTTACCTGAAATTAGAGCTGGAAGTATGCGAAGCCTACGGAAGCACTTAGTATCAACTTCACAACTTTATCAAGTCTGGTGATAGAAGGCTAAAGCAGTTGTGAACTCGATAGTAAGTGCGACAAAGGCTGAAGCATAATTTTGGAGTTGTGAGGCTTTTAAGTGAATCAATCAATTCACTCATCAAAGTATGCATGCGGAAAATTAATTTTTAAGGGAGCATTTCTACATAATTTAGCCTTTCTTTTCTTTTGCATAGGCCGAAAGTATATTAAAAAGTTCAGCTCTGTACAAACCAAATACTACGTTCTCCAACCAGATTATAAAAGGGCCAGTTGATGCAACTGGAGCTTGGAAAGTGGGATCCGAGACAAAGAATAATAATAATAATGGTGATTTTATTCATGAAAATTTATGCAAAACGGTATGGCCTACCACAAAAGCAGAGACTGCTCGTCTGTGGGGCCAGGCAAATTTATGAAACGCCATAACATATTCAGTGATCACACTTATTATACTAAACAAGCATTTTTACTGCAGTGAGTGAAACAAAACACATCGAACATAACCAGCTGATTTTGTGGGTTGCGTGTGAGCTTTGCGTCGCCCGTCGTAGCGGCGCTTTCCGGGTGGTTACGCCCGGGCCCTTGTCTCCAGTTGCAGACCATGTCCGGCGGGACCATGGCCCAAGCCGGGGGCATGAACATGCCGGTGCCCGTCCCAAACCCCGCCATGGCCGTCAATCAGGTCTCCCTGTTTCTGCCTCCCTCCCTCCGGCCGTCGTTCGCAGAGTGGCGCCGCTTGTACGGTACCTGGAATGTGACTCCGCTTCCGCACTTTGGGTCCCTCGATTCCTGCCCAACGAGGCACGACTGTAAAACTCTGGCCTTGCCGTCGCACGCTGCAGACCCAGCAGCTGGCGGGGCGGCAGAGGTGGACGTACGGATGCCCGCTACGTCGTAGCTCGCAGTGCAGCTTGGGCGGGGACGCTGCGATGGCGGCGACGTTTGCGTCTGCTCGTCTTGTTTGTGGACGCATGTACGACCGATCGTCGAGATTGCGACGACCGACGACGTGACGTGCTGGCTCCTGAAAAAATTTAGCTCCCGGCACTAGCCGGGGTCGCGTTCCAGGAATCGTACTTCCCGCGGTTGTCTTGCCTCTGGAGACGTAGAAAGTTTGGCTGCTCAGTGATTGATTGAGAATGTTGCTTAGGTGTGCGGGTGATTGCTAGCGAGGGGACATACTTGGCTAATCGTGCCCCAACATGCCGACAGCTATAAGACGGGCTTAGGAAATTGCCTGTCCTAAATTTTTACAACCTGACATGCTCACTGGCCTGCTTCAACTTTTTTTACGCATCTTAATTGCTAAAGAATACTACTGCCAGAATATAAGCATAAGTATGTCAATATGGAGAGCAAGTCGTCTGCTTTTTGCGCAGGGGTTGCGATGACGTCAGAACGACACCAAGCTCTGATTTGCTTTGATTGAAAGGATAGTGGGTAAACCTCAATGCTAGGTGCTTCGATGGCTACCCACTATTATTTTTCTATCAGCTCTATAAGACCTCGGTGTCCTGACATCGTTGCAACCCCTGTGCAGGAAGCAGACAAACTTACGCTCCGCATTGGCCAGTTGATAGTGTTTCTTTGCAAGCAGCCATGATTTCAGGCATTACGAGGAGAATGTGTAAGTTACTGGTTAGCATAAGGCAGAGGTGACCACGTTCAACCTTGATCGGGGCTTCAGTTCCGTCGGCAGTCTGGCAACACGAGCGCTCGCACTCGCACCTGTAGTTACCAGCATAATGAGATTGGCGGGGCATGTCTTTCAAACTCGTGGCCCCTAGCACGCACCCCACGCCTCATGTAGTGCTTTGGCTGCAGGCACGTGCTTGAGACGAAGCGTGACAACTGAAGCTCCTTCCTGCTGTTCTCACCTTGTCGGCGACTTCTATGCGGAGCGCAAGTTCGTCTGGTTCCTTTGCAGGGGTTGCGGTGACATCAGAATGCTGAGCTCTGATTGGCTCCAATTGAAGGATAGTGGGTAGACCTGAAAGCAAGCTACCTTGAAGTCTACCAACTATCCTTCCAATTAGAGGTAATCAAAGCTCGGCGTTCTGACGTCACTACAACCCCTGCAAAAGAACGAACAAGCACTATGCATAGGTCATCTTTGGTGAGGGCTGCGTAGGGTTGTGGTGTGGCGTGTGGTTTGCTCCTGCACTTTTTTTATTTTGTTCTGCTTTGTTTTGCATGTTGGTTTTTTGCTCCTTGTTTTCTCACCAGGCGGCGGCTGGACAGCAGTACTCTGCTGCCATGTGGCCGGGCAGCAATATTTTGGCCAAAACGGTACAGAGTGTCTTTTGTTCTAGTCTTATTTGCTCCTAAATATTTTATTTGTTCGTTTCTGATTTCTTTTTTATTTTCATTTTAGTATTGGTGCATTTATCTTTGTTAGTGTTCCTTTGACCTTTGTTCTCGAATGTTGCTTCACTAGCTACTATTTGATTTGTTTTCCGCTCTGATGTGTGCTAGTGTGTTTCTCGGGGCGGGGAAGAGGGCATTAGAAAGCTGCGCACCCTCTGTCAGAAATACTGAGGCAGCAAAAGTGGCTTCATCTGTGAACTGGGTAGACTCATTTATGGTAATCATCTTTACTATGCGGTTCTATATCGATTCCTCGTAGAGACCGGGATAGGTGCTGGCATCGGTTAGTACTGCAAGTAGAACAGGAATTAAACTTCCACCGTGCCACGGCCGTGTTTCTTTTACCCATAGCTATGCAAAGGGTTAATGTTTTTGAGTGACACTCGACGCACGATGGGAGAAAAACAATGTAATCGCGTTAGAAAATGGCTTGCTATCTCATGAAATGCAATTTGGATGCAACGCTGTAGCAGTACAGTAAAATACAAAGAGCCGCCTTACTCGAAACAACCGACTCAGAACAACTGTGCAGAATGTGAAATATGAGGGAAAACTGGAGCCGAGACATTGATCTCGGTTTCACTTCCTCCTCTCAAACCGAAAGCTTAGCGACCTGGGTGTAACAGCAGTGTGTGCTTTTACCTGCCAGCTGATGCCTCCGGATCAACAAGCACAGCAGCAAGCACAGCAGCAGGCCCAGCAGCAGGCCCAGCAACAGGCCCAGCAGCAGGCTCAGCAGCAGGCCCAGCAGCAGGCACAGCAGAATCAGCAGCAGGCTCAGCAACAAGCCCAACAGCAGCAGCAGCAGCAGCAACAGCAGCAACAACAACAACAACAGCAACAGCAGCAACAACAACAACAGCAACAACAGCAGCAACAACAACAGCAGCAACAGCAGCAGCTGGGTGGCATTACAGGGGGACCTCCGCGTGCGGCGCTGGTTTCCCCCGGCGGCGCTCCGCCCCACCCTGTGAACCAGGCAGCCTCGGTCTCGCAGCAGCAGGCCGTGCGTCTCTCCCAGCTCGAGGCTGAGAGGCAGCAGAATCTAGTAAGTGGCCGAATGGCAGCCGACAAACCGCAGTTTCCTCGGCGCCAGAGCAACCATGTACGACAGCGTTGGCCGCCAGAGTAATGCCATGCTTTACTCCGTGTCGCTTCCCGCCGCAATTTGTTGCACGCATTACCGTAGGAAAGGGTCGAGCTGCAGCTCGGTTCCCTTAGCAACCTGCAAAGCCGAGCATTGCATTGCATTTGGATATTTCTGAACGCTGCCAGCGCACCAGCGTTGTCTGTTACTTTCGCTTCTCAAGTAGCGCTGGGTTCATATTGTCTATGCGCATCCCCACGTTGGCCAAAATACTGCGAGTGAGGTGTCTGTAACTTCAGGTGTGCCTGCGCCACTATGGCAATTAGGCCCTGAGGAAACTTTTACTCAGTTTTACCAACAATTACCATTGTACAATGAACAGTTAGAGAGATTAAGCGAATAAAGCAGCCGCCCGCAACACAGTGGCAGCCTCTGGGCCCAAAATTTAGACGTCTATCGGACCTTCCGACTTTCTGCGTCTGGGTCTTCGTTGCACAGTGTTGCTGCTTTGGCAGCCTCCAAATGGTGGTTGAGGCTCTACCGACATTGCCCTCTCGCCCGTGCAGATGAAGATCCAGCAGCTGCAGCAGACCCTGGAGGCGGCCCAGGCCAAGGAGCTGCAGTACAAGGCGGCACAGGAGCAGCAGACGATGCTCGAGCGTCAGCGGGTGGTCAACCACCAAGTGCAGCAGGTGAGTGCCGCCCTTGCTGGGTGGAGCCGCAATGGTGTCGCCCCCTAGAGTATCTGCGTATGCTCTGCTTGCGAAGCGCGCTATTGCGGGAGAAGCGATTGTCGCCCTTGCAGGAGACGTGGCGGGCGTGACAGCATGGGGCGGCGGTTCATTGCACATGCGTGCCGTGTTGTCGGTTGTCGTTTTGTCTACTTGTACACGGCTGCATTAAAATGATGTTTGCGTTATAAAAACAAAACAAAACAATTACGCATGTTTATGTGGCACACACAATGTTCGACGACGGAGCCGGTACAAAGGAGAGGGATGAGAAAGGGGCAGTCTGGGCAGCCTCGCAAGATCGCCAAGGCAATACCCTTTCCCCCATTCCCCTGGGCTAGTCGTTCGTCCGACTCAGCTGCTCGAACGTTGTTGGCTTGGTAACCTGCGCCTGCTCACGTCTGTCACGTGGTAGTGAGAGGAAAGAAAATGGGAAGGGCGTACCAAAAAACTCCCATTATTCATCACGCGGTGCGAGCGGACTTTTGGGATTTTCGCAAAGGGTCTATTTACGAACCATGCGTGTTGCGGAAGTAACGGTTCCTTTTTTTCTTTACAGCTTCAACAGCAACAGCAGCAGCAGCAACGGTTTCAAGCTGGCCAGAATTCTAACCTGAGGCACATCTTGCAACAGGTGAACGGAAGTTGCTTTCTGGTATTGGTTCTAAGCAGTGTTGGCGGTAACGCGTTACAAGTAACGGCGTTACCGGTTAAACGTTACTTTTAAAGTGGAGCTGTTAAGGGCTAGTTTCCCTCCAGTATCATCACAGTGGACAAAAAAATGTTGACAAAAAATGATTGCATCTCCACGTGGTGAATGATGTTGATTGAGGCGAAGCTCTGGTGGTGCTGATGATAGTGATTTTATTGTTCATAGGTAGTGCTGATGGTGCTGATTTTTTTTATTGCTCATAGGTAGTGCTGAGTTCCGGATTGCATTTCGACTTCATTATTACTGCTTTATGGTCGGTGAAATGCAGAACTAGTGGTTCTTCTAGCGGATCAGCTTGGATCCACTAGAAGCCGTGGGAACGCATCTCCACCGCTTAAGTCAACGGTCCATGTCAGAAAGAGAATGTGGGGTATGGATCGTGGTTATATACGCAGTTGAGCATTTGACCCCAGCGCCCTCTCGTCTATAAACGTTGAGCCAATGCATGCAAAGTTTAACGCGATTATATACGCATTTGACCGCAGCGCCCTCTCCTGTATAGATGTTGAGCGGCTACATGCAACGTTTCATCCATGACAACCCCAGCTCTTGAGTTACTACCACATCTCAGAGCCCCCTACTCGTCCCGCAGTCGTGGCCGAGTAGTTAAGGCGATGGACTAGAAATCTATTGTGGTCTCCCCGCACAGGTTCGAATCCTGTTGACTGCGCAAACATTTTTTCGAATCCTGTTGGCAATCGATGTGAGCACGGATGCCGTATGGACAAGGCTAGACCCTAAGGAGCTTTGCCCCTATAAACTCCAGACAGTTACCGCCATCTATGAGCGATGGCGGCAACCAGATAACCGCCTTGCCGGTTGTCTGGTTGCCGCTGTCGCTCAGAGATTGCGGCAACATTTCCAGCCTTTCCTAAATTTCTCTAGGCGTAGTCGTTCTCGAGAACGACGCCTAGAGGACGACGTTCTCTAGGCGTTGTCCTCAAGGTCATCCTAGAAGTCGTCCTTGAGGTCGTCCTAGACTTCGTCCTTGAGGTTGTCCGAGAGGTCGTCCTAGAAGTCATCCTACACGTCGTTCTGAGGTCGTCTGAGAGCTCGTTTTAGAAGTCATCCTTGAGGTAGTCCTACACGTCATCCCTGAGGTCGTTTTAGGCTTCATCCTCTAGACGGAGTCCTCGAGGTCGTCGTAGAAGTCATCCTTGAGGTTGTCCTAGATGTCGTCCTTGAGGTAGTCCGAGAGTTTGTCCTAGAAGTCATCCTACACGTCGTCCTGAGGTCGTCTGAGAGGTCGTCCTAGAAGTCATCCTTGAGGTAATCCTACACGTGTCCTCGAGGTCGTCCCTGAGGTCGTCTTAGGCTTCGGCTTAGAAGTCGTCCTTGAGGTTGTCCTAGACGTCATCCTCTCGGCATCATAGGCGTCATCCTTGGGGTTGTCGAAGAAGTCGTCCTTGAGGTCATCCTAGACGTTGAAAGATAACAGCTTCTCTGGTCTTCCACTTTTATGTGAAGTGGAAGGGCTCAACATTTTTCTTCAGTAACATAGTAACATACTTGTTACATTTTGAAACCAGTGTTCGCACTAACAGTATGCGCACTGTTACTATGTTACACGTACGAAACGGTTTTAGCACCGTTTTTCATGCCACGAATTTCAAATAAAAATACTGTAACTGACCCATTATTTTGTCTGCGTGACTGAGAAATGTTCCAATGTGCCAAGTACATACAAATTATTCGTGATATTTGCCCTATAATCGAGCGCAGAGAGAAAATGCACTCGCTTTTTCCCATAGAAATGCATTACCGGAAGTCAATTTCTGACTGCTCGCTCTCTGCTTCAAAATGCAACAGCACACTAGCACCACCTGAACCTCTAGCGTTTATTGTAATAACTCTATGAACTCGTGCAACTGAGAGGCTTAGAGCTTTCTCATTAAACAATACCGTCGCATCTTTTCTTTTTCTTTTAGCAAGTGCAGCAGATGCGTCAGCAGCAGATGCTGATGCAGCAGCAGCAGCAGCAGAATCAGCAGCAGCAGTCGACGATCCGGGCGCAGCTGGCAGCCAGCGGTGGCATGGTGACCGCCATGGGCGGACCGCAGGGGGGACCGCCCGGAGGCGGTCCGCCCCAGGGACCGCCCCAGCAGCCCCAGGGAGGCGGCGCCCCCGGTTGGGACGACACCGCGCTGCTCGACCTCCTGGGCGGCGGTCCGCACAACGGCTGAAATCCGTGTGGGCGGCTCGACGCATCGCGGAGCACGAAGAGTAAAGGGACCTTTCGCGTCACCTCTCGACGACTGGCTCAGTGCTGGCGGTTCTCGCGAGGCAGTTGCACGGTTAATCGAAACATCGTCGACTTCTTCGAGTGGAGCCAAGTGGTGTCTTACGTTGTCTTGCCATTTTACGACTGCAATCGGTTCTGATGCCAGCTTCGTTAATGCGACAGCCGAGATCCACGCAACGGCGGATTGCACGGCACGTCGAGGAGCGACAAACAACCGATCCAAGAATCGTAGAGCTCACCATATGCAAAGGGACAACGATGGAACTTTTCGTCCTGCCACGTGTGATTGTAAACAACCGATCCGAACATCGCCAAGTTCAGTGTACGCAAAGAGACGACGACGGAATTTCTCATCCTGCTGCGTGTGATTGCAAACAACCAGTCCAAAAATCGCCGAGTTTGGTGTATGCAAATAGGCGGTGACATAACTTTTCATCCTGCTGTATTTGATTGCAAACAACCGATCCAAAAATTGCCGTGCTCAGTGTACAGAAAAATACAATGACGGAACTTTTCTTCCTGCCGCGTGTGATCGCAGGCACTTCACTGCCGGTTGCTTTAAAAGGGTTTTTGTGAGAGTGTAAAGAAATGGGAGTGAGGAATTGAGGGACAGAAGCACAACTATCGCTTCTCTTTTTCTTCCATTTTGGGACAGGCACTGAAGTAGTAGTCACCCAAAGGTGCTGACATTTCCGCCTCCTAACGCGTTCGGGTCATGTGTGGTCCCTGCTTTGTTTGTTTCTCAAGCTCTCCTTCAATTTTCCACGAAGAACTGTACAAAACTGAATCACATTCCGATGTTTGATGACTAAGCCGTCACGATGATCAGTTATGCAAACCTTGGCCACGCCATTAAGATCACTGGCATGAACAAGTAGAAATTAATGTAGGGGATTGTCACCAGTCGACATTGGTGTTCTGCTGTTGTTTCCCAGGTATTACGTACAGATAGATGCGTTGCTAGCATGATCCATGAACAGTCCACACCGCTTGGGGTGCCCCGGGGACATTTGGTAGCATTGGGCACACTTTCCAGCGATTGCGCACTGATTTTGCTGCGTGATTCGGGGCTTGGGCCTCGCTCATAACAACAATGCAGTTTGACTTCCCGGTGGCATTGTATCGTAACGCAAGAGCGGAGACTTTCGTCTGTATTTGTGCGTGTTGTTTGAATCTTGTCACCCTACGTTTGTTTTTCTATGGCAGTGGGTGCCATGGGATCAGTTTGCAGCAGGCAAAAAGATGTATGTCCTCTCTATGGTCATCGGTGAGCAATGCTTGTATTCTATGAACAGTGTCAGCTAAGAGGCATTCCTTGCAAACATGTCTTAATATTGATCCGAGGAAAATAGAATAATATAACAACAGGTGCAGCAGAACCCCGAGTGTTCCTCGCATGGTTACTATTCTATTTCTGCTGTTTGGTTATGCCATGGCCAGCGTGGGTCTAACAAATCTGTCGTATCTATTTCACATTTGTTTCGAAAAGCACAAATTTCTTTTTTGGCGGTTGTTGCTTGTTTTGTGGTTCAAGTCGTTATCTGTTCCAGATGGTGCTAATGATTCTATACTTTTTGCTTGCACAAAAATTTTTGTTCAGTTTTTTTAACGAAATATTAACTGTTCAAAAGGTGTTGTAGATATTAAAAGCTGGGCTGTAGCCTGGAACTACCGTGAAATTTTTTGTCAGTTTGCGAGTCTTGCACAATGCTTGCGTAGTAAAGCGGCGCAATGATGGAAAGGTTGTCACTATATTTTGGTGATCTGTAATGATCTGATCTTTGGCTCATCCATGTGTGTTGCAATGTTCACTGTAATAAAGTATTTGTTTTTCTTCTTTTTCGTGAAATCTTTGAAGTTCCTTTCGTTACTCATTTTGCATTCACTTGAGCCACTTCACAAGTTTACTTCCATTAAATTTGTTAGATGAAATTTTATGCATGCTCCTTTGCTAACAGCAAAGTGACATGTTTATGTTGCTTTGAGTAGAAACTTAGTGAAGTGAAAAAAAGAACAGCAGGAACGTCTGACATGTTTTGGGAGGAGCTTCCCTTCTACTGTAAGCCTCTGCTGCTGCTCTTTTCTCTTCGTTTGTGAATTCCTTGGTGAAGGATATTTATCGGCGCATTTGAATCTGCTCTACCGAACCGAACGGAGAGCAGACCGAAGGCAGTGCCAGTCAGCTGATCGGCAGCCTGTGGCGCCATCTGGGGACGCGAAAGCACACCACGTCCGCGGGCTTTGAGTGAAGTCTGGTCGGCCATGTTGTGTGTGGATTGGTGTTATGAACCCAGAGCCGCCGTTGATGAAGGTTTTCTCCCAGTGGTAGCGTAGCCCCAAGCCGCCAAGCTGGATAGGCTACCGGAATACCTGCGCGATACTGTGGACTGGTTTATGGGGTAAGCACAACGCCCGCTTTTGTTTATTATGCCCGCCTCCCGCAAAGCTGCTCGCTGGCTGCACTGTCTCGTCGCCACCGAGAACGGGGAAAAAAAAAAAAAACAGAAGAAAGAAGAGGGTCTTCTCTTTTGGACAGTTTTTGAAGCAACCGCTAGCTAATCCGGGCACCTGTTTCTCTAATCCGCTTACCTAATCCGAGCGCTACCATTTCTCCCCGGTGGCATTTTGAGAGCATCCGCTTCGTGCTTGACGGCTCCGGTAACAACAGCAACAAACGCTTCGTCGCTGTCTCCTCGATGCTACCAAAATAAGCGGCGACTTGGTGTTGCTTGCTTTTACGTCCCAGGTTCGCTCGAAGAAAGAAACGAGCGTTCTCCGGGTATCATGTTCGAAGTTTTTACTGCTCGCCCCACGGGACATCTTTGACTTGTTGTTGTTTAGCGTCAGTGCCCCAAAGTCGCGCTTCGTTTGGTGTGGTGTGTTTTTGTTTTGTCGGTATTTATGCTCGAGAGAAGCAACGTCTTTCAAGGTCTGCTGGTTTTCGCAGAGTTCAGCGTTCGGGTTGTGCATTCAGGTCGCCGTAGCCGCGCTTGGTTCTGTAGATTTCGTTTATTTTGTTGCGCGCTCCACTTCCGCTCGTCCGTGACATATGCATGACTCCGATGTCTCAAAAGACAACACAGCGGTCGACCGACGTACAGATGATATGGGTCACCGCACTGGCAAATAAAACAAATAAACAAAGTTCCTTCGGATCGGCTGACAGTCCGTCGAAACGCGAGTGCTTCGGAAATTGGTTCGCGAAACTCGTTTTTTTGCCTCTTTTGGTTCGGTGCTTTTCCGTCCCGACCTTTGGAGAACCTCGCAAAGAAAAACGGAACGAAACCGAAAAGAGGAAGTCCCTCGACTTGTAGAAGCTGCTCTTGGACAATGCCGTTCACGTGAAACGTCGAGGAAGCTTACCGGCTTTGTCACCAGTCACGTACCCAGGCTTCGTCACTTTGCCAACCTGATCATCCAGTTTTGTTCGATCCCGAAACAGCGTCGTCTTACGCAATTTCATGCCGCCCAGTAATACCAACAATAATACTTGTATGACCCCCCCCCCCTTTCCCTCTTACACGCACACGCAAGAACGAAAGAAAAAAAATTACAACTTGGGTTTAAATTATGAACACGGTTGAACTGTTTATTACTACTTGAAGTCTCAACTTCCAAGTTTCTAAATGTCGTCTTGTTTTTACAGCACGGCTGGATGTTGCACTGCCGTTGTTACAGTATTTAGTATTTACACCTTTTTCAGCGGTCTTACAAAACAAGCGAGTTACTCTTATATTGTTCCGGGATCTAAATTCCAGTCCGCTGTACATTTCTTTGTCAAAAGTTGTGCAAAACAGGGGGGTTATATTTACGAATCGGTGACATAGGACAGAGATAGGCAGTAGACAAGACGAACGCTGAACTTGGACGAAACGTTTGTTGAAACTACGTGGACCGAAGAAGAAAACAAGCACACCATAATCGCGTCAGCGCGTGCTGAAAAAAGCAATATATATATATATATTTTTTTTTTTGTGTGTGTGTAAATAAACCGGAGATTTGCTTCCGCATTATCCTCTCCCAATTCTTATCTCGTACGCTTCCAAAAGTTATATTTACTCCGGAAGCTCTCCAGAGCTTTTAACGCAAGTTTACACCATAGTGTGTTTGTGAATCTCTACCTAGAAAGAAGGACAGAAGAAAACAAAAGGGGGGAACTTTTTTTTTCCTTGTATGTGATTTTTTCTATTTGGATTAGAACTTCTGCTAAGAAGTAAAACATATAAAATAGCGCAAAACAGACAAGGACAAGAAAAGTGTACAGGATCCAGCCTAAATACAGCAGCTTTCTGCTAAGAAGGCTGCTGTATTTCAGTTGGGGCAAAATAAGGAAGCCAAGGAGCGTACACACATGACAATAATCATCGAGACTGAAAGGAGAACCGCAGCAATGTTTTTCGCATGTTGATTGGGATAAGCTTCGCACCACGCAAATCTTATCTCAGTTAGTTAAAAGGTGTCCCATAAAGCAAGTACTTAGAACCTCCAGATTTTCTAACAATATCGCTCGAACTCCGACCGGCCGGTAGATCAGCGCAGCCTTATCGCGGCGTGAAGCAGCAAGTCAGCGAGGCTAGGCGTGTGCCTTCTGCTATACACGCGCGTAGTCTCTGTGACCTGCTCTTTCACGTCGCGACAAGGCGCTAATCTACAGGCTAAAGCGCGAAACACATGTACGACGAAACCGTCCGATCCGACGTCCGACCGCCCAATACGACGGTCGGAGGCGAGGGTTTTCAACGCTCTCCAATGCTACGAAAACCCTCTCCCCCCAAGGTCATTCCGGCAGTCCGCACGTCGGATCGGACGGTTTCGTCGTACACGGCGTTCGCGCAAAACATTAAAACTAAAAAAAAAAAAAAGAAAAAAAAAAAGGTTCTTTTTGCGAAAATTAGCGACAAAGGTTTACAGTTCAAAATATATCGCTGTTATTGAGTATTTGCTGCCTCTCTCGACATGCACCGCTAGTGTTTTTCTTTGTTTTTGTACAATACGTGCAGTTAGTTGCTGATAGCCTGGTGCTAACCATTTCGTAGCCCGGCGAAGGCCAAAAGGGCCCCGATATTTTCTCTAAATCCTCGTTTTCTCTGCTTCACAACCTTGTTTCATGAAGGAGCGCGGTGAAAACACGCAGCCGCGCGCTTTCCCGGCGGACTAATCTCGAAAAATGGGCCCCGACATTAAATGACCTCCCCGATATTGGAGGGTAATTTCGGGTTCGGGGCAGGGCTCGTTACTTCCAGTGGCTTCAAAATTGAAGTCTTCCGGTTTGCGCTGCGGACCATCAGAAGACTCGCGCGCGCTTTAAAACACGCAACACGTTCGTGTGAAGCCCAATAGAGACGAAGCTCTTTGCAGGCACTTAGCCAGAAGGGGAAAGGGGGGGGGGGGGGGGGGGGGCCTGCCCCCCCCCCCTCGAAATTTTTCATTTTGCGGGGTCCTCCTCCCCCCATCCCCCTCTTCATACAGCATTTCGTCATGGGCGCCCCCCCCCCCCCCCCCCCTCGAAACAAAATCCCATGGCTACGTGCCTGGCTCTTTGTATACTTCGTTTCACTTGAACTTGGCAAAGAGCGATCGCTATGGGCCCCTCGAGTCAAACACATGACAGCAAAATATCGTGAGGGTGCAGGCGAGTTGGTGAATATTAACCATGTTGAATTAACCTGAGACTGGGGTAGAGAAGAAACATCAAAAGAGTTGAGTTTGAGACGTCGTCCTGTCTATTTTCTGTCCCTTCTACGTTTTGATGTTTCTTCTCTACCCCAGTCTCAGGTTAATTCAACATGGTTGCATGACAGCCTTGACCAAAAGCGTAATTCAAGCACTTGGACAAACGGGAAGAAGGAAAAACAGTTAGGGCGCAGGCGAGCTGGTGTAAGTTTACCACTTTTGACCACCTGAGACTGGGTGGAAAAAACACGACGACGTCTCAAACTCTCAAAATCAAAAGTCTCAAAATCAAAGAAGGAACCCTCCCCTTGTAGATAGAGTGTGTAGGCAGGCGAGCTGGTTGATGTTACACATTTTTGAAAAACCAGACCCTTCCTTCTTTTCCCGACCCTAATTTGTGAGTCCCAGTGGTCTCGGACGTTGGCATTAGCAGATACTTTCGAAATTCATACAGCTTTTTTCTCTCTCCCGCGCGTAGCTTCGACAACACTGCGCGCAACTAGTGAACTAGGGTCACGTGTCTTCGTCCGACTTGCTGATTGGCTCACTGGGGCCCTCGCCGTTTGCCAAGTTACAGTGAACGATTTGAGGGCAGCGGGCGCCTCGGCTTCTGGGACGTGGGCGCGTGAAGCGACAACACCCAGGCGAGGCGTTTTTTTTTTTCTTTCCGCCCTCGACGACGGCTATTTACCGACTGCCAAGAAGCCGCTACCTACGCCGCCCTGCGGCGCCGCTTGACCGTGTTTGCACAGCTCTTCCTCGCGTGTGGGCACGTGACAATTTCCGAGCGTGAATCGTTTCGAGTTCCCACTGCCCAGCGTAATTCCGTCGGCGGTGCCGCAATAGTGCCTTAGTGGTAGCGTGGGTCCCGCGAGGCGGGTGGCGCCTCCTTGGGCTCCTAGCGGAGAAAGTTGGCACATCTGGGGTGGTCTGGGCCGCCGCGAAGGGTTTTCTGAAATGTTGCACTTACTCGGGGACGAACCATGACTCAAACACGTTGTAAGATTTATTTTATTATTTTTTTTTTGCAAAGACAATCTATCTTTGTGCATCTTGGATCTTTATCCTGCCTTTCCATAAAACGGCGGTCACACGGCTCATATACAACTGGGGAAAAAAAAAAATTTCTGCAGACATTTTTGGAGCATGTACGAAGTCAGCGTGCTTCGAGCATGCTTGGGGCGTATCTGCGGTTACTTTTGTCCTCGTGGCTTCTTTCGCCCGATGTTTGAGCAGTCTGGTCTTAATGCTGCTCCTTGTTTTCTAATTATGACCACGGCGCGCTGTGCATCGCTTCTTTTTTTTCTATGACGGAGCGTTTCTTTCGCTGGAGCAACTGGACGTGCCAGCGGGGTTGGTGCGTCCTTCGCGCCCGGCCGCGTGTTTGCGCCCTATCTTTAGACGGACGGGAAAGCGTCGTCCCCCTTCACGTATCGCCCCGACTTCTCGTATCGCGGGTCCGTGGCGTAATCGTCACCTGTGCCCTTTCCTCTCGAGACTGCCGACATCCCCTTGTCGACACGACTGTTCTCCGAATGGAAGCGAAAGTGTACGCTGGAACCCCGAGACACGGAGAGATAAAAGAACGGACAAGACGACACCAAATCATCGAGATTCTCGTGTTATTCTGTCCGTTATCTGAATAATTTTTCTTTTTTCTTTTTTAATGCTTAATGTTTCTAGTGGGAATTAAAAACAGCGCGAAAAGACGAGGACCAGGCAAAGAAGTGACACGGACGTAGCGCTGACTTACAACTGAGTTTATTGAACGCAAAATCGCAATATATATTTGCGGTGTCGCGAACAAAAGAGAAGAAAGAATTCAGCCCATGTGATGCATCACCGGTAAAAATAAAACTGATAAAAAAAAAAAATATATATATATATATATATATATATATATAAAATGCGCCATGGACACAGCCGTACAGAGTACGTGCTAAAAAACGAGCAAGTCAGGGAACCAGATAATTCATCTCTTTGCCTGATAGGGCCACAGAAGGACTGCTTACACATACTGCACCCAACCTCGCAATCTCAACAGCCTCTAGAATTTCCCGAGTAAGCTGGTCCCTATGCCGCTTAACAACCTCACACCGTTGGAAGTCGGGTAGGCAACCACAGTCGCGGCAATGAATGCCCAGATGACCAGACATGGTTGTGGAGACAATGTAAGCGTGCTCTCTTAACCTGTAATTGAGACAGCGGCCCGTCTAGCCAACGTAGCGCTTGCCACACGTCAGAGGGAGGGAATAAACCACCCCCTCAGAACACGAGACGAGGCGATCTCGATGCCTCGTACTGCAAGCCGTGGCTGCCCTCGGAGAAGGGTTAACAGCTCTGCGCAACCTGGACAACCTGTCCGGAGCAGAGAATAAAACGTCGACGTCACACCTGTCCGCAATGCGTTTTAGGTTGTGGGACAAGCCGTGTATGTAGGGAATGACCACAAACGTTCTTCTTTCCCTTCCCTTTCTGTTGTTGGCCTCTTGTTCACTTGTCATAGGCCTGCTCTTGATATCTTTCAGCAAAGACTCGGCGACCGTTGTTAACACGTGGGAGGGAAATCCAGCATCTGCGAGGCGTTCAGTTTGCCTGTCAAAGCTATGTTTAATTTTATGATAACAAGACCTACGTAGCGCATGTGTATAGCAAGTTATAGTGGATTTTGTGTCTGTGACTGAAGCCTTGATGATGATGTCACAGTATCAAGTGACATCATGTCGTCACGTGACTTCGTGACGTCATACGAAAGTAGACCGTTACGTGAAACTACGGCGTCATGTGACACCGTAACGTACCTGACAGAATGCCGTCACGCGACTTTATGACGTCACTGTGTCGCATGGAAGCTCTCGCGATGTGCCCTTGAGTGGCCTCCTTACTGCGCTCGCAAAAGGGGGAGTGCCAAGAGGCAAGTGCTATGCGTTTAGAACGCCTTTAGAAAAGGCCAAAAAGAACGGTCCAGTTTTTAATTTTGTCTATTCTTTCTCGATATTTTCGATAAATTGTCGCGCAATGGTGTGCAGGCCCTCTGCGAGGAGGCTATCGTTTAAGGCTTCGGAGGAAGCCCCTCCTTTCTCTTTTCAGCTCAGCAGAGCGAGCGCTGGGAGGGAGGAAACCTCCTTTCCAGCGTTCCCTCTGCTGAACTGGAAAGAGGGGAAAAAGGGCCGAAACTATACTCCACGTCACTAGTTGTGTGCAGTACAGGTGAAGGCAACGCCAGGCGAAGAGAGAAAGGGCGAGCACTAGGATGGCGGGACGGGAGAGGATGGCAATTGGAGGGAGAGAGGAGAAAAGGAGAGCATTATAGGAACGTTAGAGAGGAGAGGTTAGAGGTTTTTCTCCTCCTCTTCAGCCTTCCTAATGCTCGCCCTATGTCCCCTTGCCTGTCGTTGCCTTCGCCCGTACTGCACGCAACTAGTGGCACAGAGTATAGGAAGGCTGAAGTGGAGAGGCGCGACCTTCTTTCCACCGTGGCTTTTCTCGTGCGCGCCCTTTTCCCCCTCGCACTGTCTTTCTGGACGACGTTTCGACTGGCGGCAGTTTCTGACAGGTTTGCTGACATGCGCTAAGATCCGTGGGAAAAGGGCCACCTGAGCGACGAAGCCGCGTCGAGGATACGCCATTCATTCTTCTGATCCGAGAGCCCCGACAGGTTTTGCGTGACGTTGCTCGTCACGTCGTGCGTAAACGGCCTGGAGATGATTTTCTAAATCAGTCGACTTCTCTTCCCCGAGTCGACTCGACTGACGCCCTAATTATTCGCTGGACGCCATATTTGAGGGCGAGAGCGCATGCTCAGGACGAGCTGCGAAGACCGGCAATCTCGATGGTGCGGAATGCACGTTGCAACTGTGGAAGGTCGCCTTCAGCACGCGCTCAGCAGCCGCGCACACAGCTATGGCCGCCACTCTCTGACGTCACGCCCGTGGCGCTGCTGTCGGTCGGCACTGCGCACGCGCAGACTCCTGTTCACGCGCAGTGCCAGCTCCTTGTGCGGGCAAACGCGGCTTTGTTTCTAACAGTCTCCTGCAGGTTCAGAGTGCTGGACAAAGCTCTTTCTCCAAAGCACTCTAATGTTTCCAACCCAATAGAGAGAACGCTGGAGACGGTGCCGAGTCCCTCCTCGCGTTCTCTCCGATACTCTGAAGAGCGAAGAGCCTTGTTGGAGCAGCTCGTTCTTTGGCCGTTCACACCACTGGTTCACACACTTATTAACATTGATGGATGAATGGATCATTCCGGCTGAGCCCTTTGGATCGGGCGGTAGCTTACGCCACCTAGCCATTTTGTTTTACCATTTAAGCTTAGAATAGTTGTGACATACTGGCGCCATCTGTCGGGTATCCGTGGAACACTTACAATTAATTTTTTTTCCCGCATTTCTTTTTTTTTTTTTTTTGCCTTTTGACAACGTTATGAGCGACCAATTCTCGTAGGTGATACACGTACAGTTGATCGCGCAAATACCGGAAAACCTTCGCTCTAGTGACGTGCAGTTCCAGGGTGACCTCATAGGTGGCGCCAGCGTGCCGGTGTGTGCCCTCGTCGCAAGAGACCGCAGGAACCCAGTCCTAAGCGAACGCAAGTATGGACGGCCTATTCACACAGTTGCGTTGAGTCCGACCTAGTGCGAGGGTTGCTATGGCAACGGCTGCGTCGGCTCCAACAAAACGGGGTAAAAACCGGTTTTGTTGGAGGCGACGCGCATTGGTCGTACTCAACGCAAGCGAGTTTAAGTCTCCTTTTTGTCTTTCATAACAGTGCAAAAGTAGTGTACTTCTACCCTATTGCGTCACGCTCAGCGAGTAGGTGTTTGCACGCGTGATGCGCCAGTCGAAGCGGTTGCGTCGACGGGAACGAGCGCCGTTACTCCCTTCGTGTTTAGATTCGGAAATCGGGTGATTTTCTGTTGCTTCGTTTATGTCATCTTGTTGGCAGAGAACTCAAAGAACACAAGCTTACACGTCTCTTTTCTAAACGGGGAGGCGGGCTGGAAACGAGCTGGCTTTTGCCAACCCAATGCTCCCATTTGGAACGCGGAAGAAAAATGCGCCGGTTTTTGCCCACTACGACTTCCTGGTTTGATCAGTTCGCTTCCTTTCTTTTTTTCTTTTTTCGAAATTAAAGACTCGTTCGACTTTTTTCTAATGAAAATGAAATGATTAATTTTACTTTCACGTGAAACCTCATTTCTCGGAGGTTTCCTTAGACCCCTTTCTCGCGCGCCAGATACGAGTGGCCGTGACTACAGTACCGTGACTGAAGTTGTATTGCGTCACCGTTATGCTCGACCACTGAAATGGGTAATGACGAAGTACTCCGCGATGTCTAAAAGGTTAATAACCTGTCACGGTACCACAGCGATGAAGCAAACCGAACAAAAAGTGAAGGTCAGTAATGTGGGTTAGCGCACACATCTCCCCTGGAAGTTCCCGTGAACCCGTGGCCTCCCGAGATATCCTGGTCCATCAAGCGTAGTTCAAGCATTCGCCGGTGTTTGAAAACAGCACGCGCATGCCCAGAACTCTTCTTGGAAAAAGCCCATTCGGTGCTCGAGCAAACCGTACCGCGCGAGTGTCTCAGCAGGCCGAAGGCGCCAGAGGCGGCAAACCGGGAATAAAACGAGGCGCCTAACTCGCACCCGTTCCGCGAGGGGGCCATGAAGCGGCGGCCGCTCTCTCTTCTCGTTTTCGCTCGCGGAGCGCACATCACCTGAGCGGGTGACGTCAGAACGAATACTTCGTCTGCTCCGTTTGCCCGTCGGCAACGTCGCCAGCGCGGACGGCTGCTTTCTGTGCTTGCAATCTTTTTGTTTCTCCCCCCGTTCCCAAAGTGTCCCAGTGTGTCTGAGACGCCGAGAACGTTGTCGGCGATCCTGCCATGTCTTCTGTCGTCCTCGACGCTCTTCGCCCCGCAACGCGCCGGTGGTGGCTGTCGGCGCGTCGCCTGCGCTGCGTGTGAAAAAAAAAGTGTGTGCTCGTCGTCATGTAATGCGCCGACCGACAACGGCCTACTGCCTTCCCGTTGCACCGGGGCTCATGTGCGCGGTGGCACGCGTCAAGTACCGAGGAATGTTCATGTTCAACTTCGTCTGGTAAGCCGACCATGGAATCCTACCCGTTGTTGTTGTGGACGCTTTGCGCCCGCTCAATATGCGGTCGATCTGGATCGTCGCTCACCGCGTTTCGCGTCTGCGTGCACGTAACTTTGCTTTGGGGTACACTGCGACGATAACGGGGGATTCAAAAACTCACTGCTCTGTGTGTGTAAGGTTGATCTCGTCGGAGGAGTTCTGAGTGGCCAGCCGTGTTGACATGGTTGTCGTGGCCTAACCTTCGTCTCAAATGCACGGAGCCCGTTTTTTTTCGTGTTTTTATTGCAGCATCCAAAATGCTAAACCAAATCGTGCAATCGAAAAAAAAAAAAAAAGACTGGAAGGAGTTTAGCCAAGGACGGGTCGTCTTTGGGACTGACTTTATCATCTTTATTATTATTTTTTTTTTTTTTTTAATGTACCGTTCTTCTGGCTTTCGAAATGCGATATTCGTTGCCGTGCCAAAAGGACGCGGTCGGAGGTGATGAAAAGAAAAACAACTCGAGGATTTTTAGTTTTCTCTACTTGAGGTTCGTGTTTAAAGACAGTCGTGCCAAAAAGGTGACGCGTGATCGGACGGCCAGAGCGTGTAACGGAACGGTATTGTTTCGTCTGCTATTGCGTTATCGAGCGAACCTAGACTACATCTGCAGTGTCGATGCGCGCAGTATATTACACTACGCGTTTTTTCTTTCTTTGTGTGAGTAGGTTTTACACGGCGAACATACGCTTTATACGGAATGCCCCTATAAAAGTGCTTTCGCGTTATCACTGCACTTCTGGCGTTCTGCGAATCGCTTAGCGCTGTTGTGCAAGAAAAAAAAAAAAAAAAAAGAAAGGAGCTATATCGGTAACCTCGTATATTTGTGGATGTAGTGACAATCCCGTATTATCTGCCCATACGCACCACCGTTATATTATACCCTTACCGATGGAGCGTTTTACTCGGAAACAGGAAAGCTTGATGTTCGAAACGGCTATTCGTCGTTCTCCTTTCACGAAAACAGTCGAAAACTTTTTTTTTTTCGATGTATATATAAAGTTACTTTGTCCACTTTATGCCCGGAGCAGGGTCTTTTTAACCCTTTAATAATGTTGGGGAATTCTAAAGAAATTGTATCCACTTTTCTGTCCACTGTTTGGCCGTTTTTCTTATTTTTTCTCACTTTCTGTAGGACGTAGTTTATAAAGATTAAATAGAAATTTTATAAAAAAAAAAAAAAAAGAAGAGACATTTTAACGACTTTTCTGTCCTCTTTGTACGGACAACTGGTCAGTTTTTTTCGGGATAAAGGGAAAAAAAATCTTGCGCAGTATCTTTTTTATGATATATTCATGGAAACATGCAGCCGCCACTTGCTGTGTGTACATACGCTGACATCACAAATGAAGTACACGCGTCGCCGAGATAACCAAAACACTGATAATTCGGTGGTGTTGCCTAATCATTTAAACGATGACCATTTCAGGAATTAATAGGATTTCAAGTATTTTTTTAACCGACAATTTATACGAGATGTGGTTCCTTAGAGTTGGGGAAATTTACCTGCAACTATAAATTTTTATCAAGATGCGATACTTATTTGACACGGTCGGAAAAGCAGCCTCTGCAAGGAGGTTCCAACTGGGCGTGTATGACGCTTCTCCGCACTGTATCTTATTATTCTATCGAGTCTAGCCCATAGAAATTCTGTAGGCATATTGCAACAGAAAGTCTGTTGCGACGTGGTGATAGAAATTCTATAGTATTTCTATCGTCTGTGCTCCATAGACTTAACTTACTTGAAAGCAAGTATGTAGAAAATCTATTGAAAACTTTGGATACGACATGATTGGATAGGAAATTGAAACAGTCGTTAAAATGTAAATAAGATTTCTATAGACTACCTGAAATATGTTTTGTAAGGTTAAAGGTTCCTGCGTGGGGGTCAAAACAGCGGCGGCGTAGCGAAACTGGGTAATGGGATCGGTCTATTGGTGAAAAACGTTGAAACCTGTGTTCAGAACACTATGAACAACCATCTGGGTTAAAGGTAGCTCTAACAAGTCGTGGAATCGCACACTCCGACTGATCTTATATTTTTGTTCTAAATTTCAGGATGTTCCATGCATCCACAGTGGCACAGCATCTTCGCCTTCTTTATTAGGAACTTCAACAATTCCATTTCTGAAAAAAAAAATGATAATAATGGGCGAAGATACATTAGAAGTGTCGGGGAATTATAATTGCGGTACGACACTTTCTTCAAGCCGACCGAGACGTTATGGTGGCGCCGTACAACGAGGGAAAGATCGGAGAGGACCATGACATCTCTTCTGAGGATCTTGGCTCGAGCGCTAACTTGCTGCCGCGGGCAGCGCTTTGTCTGCTCTCTCACCACTCGAGCAGACACGCGTAAGCTTCTCCGTCTGTCCGGTTGCAGGCCAATAAGGTTGGTGCCAGTTTTGGAATTTTCGTTACCGTCACAGACTGTTTTCTGTCGGCTCTGTTACGTGCGTGGGCTGGCATCCGGAACGCGGGGCGCCGGCAGGCGGCTGTGCCGTTAGCGACAGCTTTGTCCCGCAGGATGTTCGTTTCACGGGTTTTCGCTGACGATGGCAAGACGTCTCACAATGTAATTCACTTTGACAGTTTGATTGTGGACTCGAGCGAAAATAGAAAATGCACATCCGCGCATCAAATCCCAGCAAAACAAAAACGTGCAACGATGAGCAACGTTCGGCGATCTCGCGTCTTGTTGCAGCTCAACAATGGTGGGAGATCGGCGCGGTGAGAAAAAAAAAAAAAAGCAGGAAGATGAAATGGTTATGCCAACAACAGCAGCAGCAGCAACAACAAAAGAAAGCGGCAGTTCTTTTTCGAACAAGGCTCGTTTCAGTTCTAAATTGCCTCGGAACAATCGCATTGTCGAAGGGGCGCGCACCTGGGAACCAGGCTACGCGTGAGATCACGTGGTGTCTTCTTCCGCGATAGGACCGCCGACCACCGCTGTGGTACGTACCGCGAGCGTGGGGTGCCATGGGGCTGAGAGTGTGGGGCTGTGTCAGTCGTTTGGGCTGGGTGGCGGGAAACTAGCGGTTGTTTTTAGATGCGTCGTGTTCTTCTTGCCTTTGTTTTGGGGATTTCTTCCTCCTGGCGACAATTTCATTGTTCCGTGCCCCCCTCCCTTTCTCTCCTTCGCTCGTTAGCGCCTTTTCTTTTGTCTGCTGGTTATGTGGTGGGTTTCTTTCGGGTGAAGTAGAGTTTGGCGTGGAACTCGAGTTTTGTGGGGTTGCGTTTGCTTCTTGGAAATTTGGAGTCTTCAAAGTTCAAAGCAAATATTATTTTCCTTTTTTATTCTTAGTTTTAGTTCGGAATACCGCGTTGTTTTAAGGTCTCGACGAGTTGGAGCGTGCTGTTATGACATATCAATAAGAGGAAAGTGATAGAAACGACGAGAACAAGACATCTTTCTTTTGAAAAACACAACTTTTATATTATTTTAGGGGTGTGTGGTGGGGAGAGTGGTATTATGGGAGGTTCCTTTCTTCATACGTTGCCTTCGGCGATTGCTTCGTCTTTGGTCAAACTGGTCAAAATATTCCTGTTTAAGGGCAGTCATCTCGCATCTTTTCTTGCGAGTACATCATCAAAAAACGTTTCTATTCGAAGCTTGGAGAAGATAGTTGCAACAATTAACGAGCACTCTCCACAGTTTAAACGCAAACTCGACTTTGCGAAAATGGCGAAGCTCAGATGAACACCTTTGTCTCTGGCTGTCCGAGCCTCCAGTGATTTCCCTCCCCCAGGGGTGTGTGTAGGGAAATCACTGAATCTTCCGAAAACACCCCCTTAATTCGCAACGACTCCTCTATTCTCAATGCCCCCCCCCCCCCCCCCCCCCCCTAATTTCAATTCCTGGCGAAACCCCAGCGCACGTCGACATATATAGACCAATTTCAGATCGACCAGTACCTTCAAGAATAGACACGTTCTCTCGGCTGTTCAAACCTCGGTAGAATACCGGCTTCTCAGATTTCAGCTTGCATCTGTGAAATAGTCCTTCCACATTAAGCAGCTTACACCTAAAGCGGTGTTTTGTTATTTCTGGAGCAGAACGTCTACAACGCAAACACCGAAAATAGCTCTCTCTCAAGCTCGCACCTGCAACTTGCACGACGAGAAAACGCTATATAGACCAGACCATAAAAATATGTGCACATTGCACAAGATATGTCAGTATAGCCTCAGGCCCCCTACGCACAGTTACGTTTGACTGCGTTGCGGCTGCGAGAAACCAGGACGGTCCTGTTTCTTGTGTCGCGTGCCAAGATGACTCCTTAAATTGGATTCCACGCTTCATACGAAGCACACATGTGCCGGTGACTCGCTTTCGGTTCTCGACGCAACGCAGTCAAACGTACTCAAACGCAACTGTGCGTATAGGGGCCTTTAAACGAAGTGAAAACGCAGTCAAACGCGGCTGTGGGAACGATCCTTCGGGGGCGGAGGTAGCGCATACATCTACGAACAGTGCGCTGCAGGTTGTGTCCGACTGTTATGCAATACAGTAATAATGCTGCGATAGCCCCCCAGTCGGGCACTGGATATGGACCGAGGACATCGGACGTGTTTTCACCACGACTGTCTGAGGGGTGCACTGGTATATCCCAGAAGTCTGTCCTTTTCCGCGCACCAAAATATGGTGTCCAGACGCCGTTCAAAAGCCTTCGTCCTGCAAAATTGCTTATTTGTTGGAAAAAAAGAAAAAAAAAAAAAAAAAGAAAAGGAACGGGGTCAAACCGAAACCTGGGCATCAGCGCGGAGAGATATGACGTCAGAGAGTTTGGGGGACGCAGGGATTCGCGGCTACCCGTTCCATTCGCTGCCTGAGTGCTAATGAAAGTTACATTACGTTAATTATATTATTCTTTATTAATGCGCGTGTGCCTCGTCGGGCCTAAGACTTAAAAAAGGGTTGCGTTGTCACTGTACGTGTTCGTGGAAAAAGACAAAAGAC